AAGGATGTTGCAAGGACCGCGCAAGATAACGAAGACAGTAGCGATCACGGCGGTCCTGGAGAGACAGGAAGCCAGTGTCAACATATAAGCTAAGGACGGGAGTCGAACGAAAGGCACCAGAACTGAGGCGCAACCCAGTATGGTGCAAAGCATCAAGACGGCGAAGAGTAGGAGAAGCAGACGAGTAAGCAGGGCAACCATAATCGAGCTTAGACAGGACGAGAGAGGAATGTAAAGCAAGGAGAGTGCGCCTATCTGCCCCCCAAGAAGTATGGGACAAGACCCGAAGGAGGGTAAGGGCCTTAGAGCACTCAACACGGAGGTAAGAGATATGGGGAGACCAAGACAAACGAGTGTCAAGGAATAACCCCAAAAGCTTCGCGGAATCTTTGTACTCAAGGGGATGACCATAAAGTGACAAAGAGGGACGGATAACGACCCGTTACCGAGTAAATGTCATGGCACAAGTCTTAGTAGAAGAGAACTTGAAGCCATGATCGGTGGCCCAAGACGACACGGCATCAATCGCAAGTTGAAGCTGGCGCTGAAGGAGAGGCGAATCATCACCCTGACAGCAAAAGGTAAGATCATCGACATAGAAAGCGGAGAAGACGCAAGAAGGAAGAAAGGAAAGAAGACCATTGAGGGCAACCAGAAAAAGAGTAGTGCTCAGAACACTACCTTGGGGCACACCTTCGTATTGCTGATAAGAGGTAGAGAGAGCGGTACCAAGCCTCACCCGAAAGGAACGACGAGAGAGGAAGCTGCGGAGAAAGAGAGGGAGATAAACACGAAGACCAAAAGATTGAAGTTGGGATAGAATATGATAACGCCAAGTGGTGTCGTAAGCCTTTTCCAGGTCAAAAAGGACGGCAACAACGGAGGTCTTCGCAGCAAAAGCAGTACGAATATAGACCTCCAAGTTCACCAGGACATCTGTCGTGCTGCGGCACTTGCGGAAACCAAATTGAGAAGGGGAGAGGAGGTGATGGTGTTCCAGGAACCACATCAGACGAACGTTAACCATACGTTCAGAGTTTGCAGACACAACTTGTGAGGACAATAGGGCGAAAGTCCTTAGGGGAAGTTCCCAGAGACCCTGGTTTGCGAACAGTGAGGACAACGGCATCGAGCCAGTCCTCAGGGACTGACGACGACTCCCAGATCCGATTATACAGACTCAGTAAATACTGAAACGTGCACGGAGGGAGATGGCGAAGCATCTCATAATGAATGCCATCGGAGCCCGCCGCCGTAGAACCGCAGAGGACCAGGGCAGAACGAAGTTCAGAGAGAGAAGGGATCGTTATAGGGAAGTCGAAGATGAGTGCAGAAATCGAAAGGACGAGACTCAAGGACAGGTTTACGAAGAAGGAAAGATTGGGGAAGATGAAGACCAGAGCTAACAGAAGAAAAGTGGGAACCCAGTTCGGTAGCAACCTGCAACGGGTCCGCCACAAGAGTACCACGGAGTGAAGGACCGGTGAGACATCGGGAACGAACTTGCCCGCTATCTTGCGGATACCATATCTGTGGCAGAGGAGTTTCGGACGTAATGTTGGAGACATATGATGCCCAACATTCACGTTTAGCCGTACGGATGGCCCTACGGGCCACCGCACTCGCCTTCCGAAAGAAAAAAGAATCGGCCGTCTGCCGATGGCGGTGCCTCTTTTTCAGGCTGCACTCTTACAGCGGACAGCCCGAGCACAATCTGCATTCCACCATGGCACGCACTTCCGTAGACCCCGAGAGGAAGAGCAGAGGGCAGCGTCGAAGACAGTGTCATGAAAAAGGAGGAGAGAGCGAGGGAGAGGCAGAAGGGAGGGGTCAGAGAGAGCAGCACTGAGAGTAAATTGGTTTCAGTCCGCTTTAGCAAACTGCCATCTAGGGAAGGAGAGGGGAGGGCGAAAAGAGAAAAAGGTAACAAGGATGGGGAAATGGTCACTGCCATGGAGGTCATCAAGAATCTGCCACTCAAAATCTAAGTAGAGAGATGACAAGCAAAGAGAAAGATCAAGACAGGAAAGGGTGCGAGTCCGAGAGTTCAAATGCGTGGGCTCACCAGAATTCAGAAGAGACAAGGAAGAAGAGAGGATGAAAGGTTCAAGAAGGCGACCCCGGGTGTTTGTCAGAAACATCACCCCAAAGGGCATGTCGACAATTGAAATCACTCGGCAGGAGCACAAGCTCTGGCAAGGAGTCCAGTAGGTGTTTAAGATTGGGAAGAGAAAGCGGGACATTTGGGGGAGGGGGGGGGAGATAAATGGAACATCAGCTCCTGGAGACAGACACAAGGGGCAAAAACTGTGAAATTAGAAGTGGGAGGTCAAGGAAATTGGCGTAATAACCACGAATGTTCCACTGAAGAAGAGACATCGACAAAAAGAGAGAGGATAGCAACAGAGAACAATGAAGAAACAATGGTGGGAAAGGAACACAGCACATTAAAGAAGCTCAGGATCAGGGTCAGCAAAGTCAGGGTTAGGGGGCATGGGTAAACTGAGTAAAGACGGAGGGAAGGAAGTGGGAGGACAGACCAGAGGTGGATGAGCAGGGTCCGGAGGGGGAGGAGGAGACAACCGAGAGGGGCGGGCAAGGACAGGAGGAGGAGGGGCAGAAAGAGGGAAGTGCACCTCAGCAAGGGCAGCAACCGAGAGGGAAGCGGGGGCCAAAGAAACCTCCACAGCAGGAACAGGGGGCTCTACCACCGAAACGGGAGGGGATGGAACAATAGTCAGAGATAGGGGGTGAAGAAGAAAAAGAAGTCTTCTTACCCCCCGGGGAGGAGGAAGGAGATGAGCCAGGCTTTTGCTTCCGACTCAAAGAGACAAGTGTCCCAGCAGCAATGTACTGGGCAACAGACTCGAGCATCTCAATAGGGGAAGAAGAACGAGAGCGAACAACGTGACCACCAGGAGAGTGATGGACATCGGCCCGCACAGTCAGGCGGGGTGGAGAGCCAAGAGACGGAGGAGAATGACGGGAAGGAGGATCAGAGGGAGAGGAGAAAGAAGACACAGGAGACAGAATAGACTGGGTAGAAAGAAGGGGAAACCCCAGACCTAGAACGAGGGAGGGGAGCCTTCGGGACAGAACGTAAAGGAACAGGGGAGGAGGTGGTGGGCGTGTCCGGGTCTAAGGCCTGGAAACGGTTTTGAGTCTGAGGAAGGTGGGAAAGACCAGGAGAGGAAGAGTGCAACACACGAGCATAAGGTGGGAGACGACAAACTTGGCGCTTTGCCCCAGGAAAAGACAAATGCTCCCGGTGCTTAAAGTTGAGGACAGCTGCCTCAAGTTTGTAATGTATACACGTGCGGGATAAGGTAGGGTGGGCCTCACCGCAATTGAGGCAGCGGGCCTGGGGAGAAGTGCACTCCAACTTAGAGTGACCCTCGTCCCCTCACATGGGACAGAGAGAGAGAGGACTGGAGCATTTGAGGGCACCATGCCTAAACCTCCAGCACTTATTACAGAGCTGAGGACATGGAATATACTTCTGAACGGAGCATCTGGCACCAGCAAGAATGACAGAGGGCGGAAGGGTCCTACCATCAAAGGTAGGACTTCACAACTCGAAGGGGCAGACGGCGACGACCACAAGTAAACGAGTAAACGTGTCCACCTAAAGGACAATTTCCTTGGGCTTCGAGGATATGCTTGATATCCTCGTGGCAATCTTTTTAGATTACTAACATCGGTTGCAACATGATGCGGGAGGAGAACAGTGCCAACACTGGCATTTAACCGAGCGTTCTTGGGAAACCCGAACAGGGGTCTCGCCAATGCAGGATAATGCGGCCAAGCGGGAGGCTGCATCCTGAGGAGCAGCAGCAACAATACTGTACCGAGACGGGTGGGGTTGAAAAGCAACAGAGGCACCTACCGAATTAACAAGGTACCTATGAATGAAAAAATCGTCAGGAGTAGAATCTAAAGGATGGAGGTCAAAGTACTTAGTCCACGTAGCAGGACCAAACAAGGCATGGTACGAATTAGTATGGGAAGGGAGCATACGAGAGTGGCCGTGGCGGGGACGGTGGTGAGAACCTCCGGTGAGAATGGTGAGAGAGAGATGGGTCATAAGGCACAGTAGTCACAATAAGAGATGGAGCCGTGCAAGGGGATGAGGCGGTCATCACAGCAGACTTAGAGCTCGACCCTAAAACAGAGGAGGGAGGGGAGCAGGGAGTAATAGTCAGGTCTGGGCCCAAACCGGGCCCTGTAGCGGGGGCTACAGAGCCCGGTCTTCCAGTACAGTCTGACTCAGGGGCCTGGTTGCCCACCTGGACACCTGGGTAAGAGAAGTAGAGTCGTCATCCATGCATCAATCAAACGAAATGTGTGGGACCTTGAACCAAGGGATACCACCTACCAGGGCAGCCAGGGTAGCCGAGCACGGTCCAGTGCAGGAAGGGTACATATTCCCCAGTGGTGCTCCCCCTTTTCAACAGGGAAATTTTACTACATCGACCATTCTCCCACACTGGTGCTAAGACCCCATTGCCTCTATCGTCCCAGCCTGGACACCCAACCATCCACTCAGGGCGACCCCTCCAGCGGGTGGTCCAATGGCTCACAAGGCACCTAAATAGTGCCCATCAGCACGTACACCATCCAAAGAGGGGGGTAAGAGAGGAGGCAAAGGCAACCCTCACTGGTCCCAGGGAGGTGTTCGTGAGCCCCTCACCACGGCAAGGAGACACCACGGAGGGGTGATCTATGCATAGTACAATTGATAAGTCATTTTAGAGCACCAAAATAGATCCATTTAGTGAAAATAGTAACCCATGCAAGAATTAAATTATCTTGGCAGGGACAGCACAATAACATGGCTGAAAATTAGTAACAACCCACACACACGAGAATTTTTTTTTTTTTTTTGACGTTTCAGTCCATCGTGAACCTTTATCAAGGATCCAGGATTGTCTGAAATGTCATCACTTTCCCTTCTGTAACTGTGTTCAGCATACAACAGTTAGGATAATAACACAAACATATAATACCTTTCTCAATGCCTTTTTATTAATATGTACAGCAAATAGATTTCCCATATAAAATGTCTCAATTTAACAGTATAGTGAGAAGCAAATTCAATAATAAACAATTGAGCATGACCATCACTTTCCCCTGTAGGACTATCAGCCATTATGGTCTCCACTCTGACTTTCAACAAGTTACTCAGCACCTACTTTGTTTATTGTATCTGAAATTGGCTTCAGTTTCCTTCCTCTGAAGCTATCATGCCGGGGAGTAATTTTGGCATGCTCTTACATTTCAGATCATTAGTCAACTTAATTTGCACAAACCATGTCAAATTCTAAAGAATGCCATGATTAAGAAAACTGGAGAGAGAATAAACATTGAAGTTGCTATGGGACTGAACCCGCATCCCCCGAGCTTCTCGGCCAGGCGCACTACCGACTGGACCTGGGCAGTCCAGGGATGTGGGCTGCTTCCCATCATACCACCTCAATATTTGCTCACATGTATCACATTCTTGTGATTTCACTGTGCAATAATGGAAGGTATAAACCTGGTGTCAATGTAAAAACACATACCTGTACTGTACTTCATCACCATTCCCCCATCTCTGATTTTTATCAACCAACTTGCCTAATACGAGGAGCAAAATATAGTGGAGAACCTAGTTCTTAAATAATTAATAAGAGCCAATATACAAAATTGAAAGCTACATATCACCCATGCAATCAATAAATGTCACAAATTTCATCAACAGCTTTGCATGCATTCAAACTAAATTTATGATATTGCACATAAACTTTAACTTCTTGAAATTATAGTAGAAAACATTCTGTACACTAAAGAGCCAATTTCAACAAATTCCTCAAAAACCTCTTATAAAATAACACAACTTGGAAACAATAGTTCAACAGTGTCAGTTTAGTTTACAAGTGTATAAAGGAGCATTTATAAGCCCAGAAAATATCACAATGTGGGCTGGCAAAGCACCCTATGACTAAATGTAACACAGTGAGGCCTTTAACAGAGCTTCACTAGTCACTCCGTTGAAATGCGTGACTGACCGAGCCTGAAGAGATGGAGAGATCAGCTAGATGTATAAGAGCTGCAATGGACATGGTGCTTGCAGACCAGTGTGCAACAACCACCCATAACAGTATTTTTAATCTGGAGATAGATGCAAACACAATAGGAACAAGGAGTGACTAAGGTCCTGCTTTGTCATTACTCGGTCTAGACAAAATATCATCATACGTAAAGAAAAAGGAATCAATACCGAGCCAGGACAATGATCCTCAGAACCACCTCAAAGTTCTCTCTTTGCCACGCAACATTCTAGTTGTCATCACCGAGCACTTGGCTTATCTGTAGTACAGTAGATATTCATGTGTTTCATTCTGTAGTTTGTAACTTATGCTATGTGTTCTCAATTATGCATAAACATAATTATGTAATTTAACTTGCATAATACAATACATTAAATTTTCTTACAGCTGGAAAACATACAATAGACAAAATATATTCACACAACATCAAATAACTTTAAACAAACATTTCCCCAGGAGCTAAACCTGGGGTCAAACCCTGTTTACCTCTTCCCAGGAGCTAAACCTGGGGTCAAACCCTGTTTACCTCTTCCCAGGAGCTAAACCTGGGGTCAAACCCTGTTTACCTCTTCCCAGGAGCTAAACCTGGGGTCAAACCCTGTTTACCTCTTCCCAGGAGCTAAACCTGGGGTCAAACCCTGTTTACCTCTTCCCAAGAGCTAAACCTGGGGTCAAACCCTGTTTACCTCTTCCCAGGAGCTAAACCTGGGGTCAAACCCTGTTTACCTCTTCCCAAGAGCTAAACCTGGGGTCAAACCCTGTTTACCTCTTCCCAGGAGCTAAACCTGGGGTCAAACCCTGTTTACCTCTTCCCAAGAGCTAAACCTGGGGTCAAACCCTGTTTACCTCTTCCCAGGAGCTAAACCTGGGGTCAAACCCTGTTTACCTCTTCCCAGGAGCTAAACCTGGGGTCAAACCCTGTTTACCTCTTCCCAGGAGCTAAACCTGGGGTCAAACCCTGTTTACCTCTTCCCAGGAGCTAAACCTGGGGTCAAACCCTGTTTACCTCTTCCCAAGAGCTAAACCTGGGGTCAAACCCTGTTTACCTCTTCCCAAGAGCTAAACCTGGGGTCAAACCCTGTTTACCTCTTCCCAAGAGCTAAACCTGGGATCAAACCCTGTTTACCTCTTCCCAAGAGCTAAACCTGGGGTCAAACCCTGTTTACCTCTTCCCAAGAGCTAAACCTGGGGTCAAACCCTGTTTACCTCTTCCCAAGAGCTAAACCTGGGGTCAAACCCTGTTTACCTCTTCCCAAGAGCTAAACCTGGGGTCAAACCCTGTTTACCTCTTCCCAAGAGCTAAACCTGGGGTCAAACCCTGTTTACCTTTCCCAGGAGCTAAACCTGGGGTCAAACCCTGTTTACCTCTTCCCAAGAGCTAAACCTGGGGTCAAACCCTGTTTACCTCTTCCCAAGAGCTAAACCTGGGGTCAAACCCTGTTTACCTCTTCCCAAGAGCTAAACCTGGGGTCAAACCCTGTTTACCTCTTCCCAAGAGCTAAACCTGGGGTCAAACCCTGTTTACCTCTTCCCAGGAGCTAAACCTGGGGTCAAACCCTGTTTACCTCTTCCCAAGAGCTAAACCTGGGGTCAAACCCTGTTTACCTCTTCCCAAGAGCTAAACCTGGGGTCAAACCCTGTTTACCTTTCCCAGGAGCTAAACCTGGGGTCAAACCCTGTTTACCTCTTCCCAGGAGCTAAACCTGGGGTCAAACCCTGTTTACCTCTTCCCAGGAGCTAAACCTGGAGTCAAACCCTGTTTACCTCTTCCCAAGAGCTAAACCTGGGGTCAAACCCTGTTTACCTCTTCCCAAGAGCTAAACCTGGGGTCAAACCCTGTTTACCTCTTCCCAAGAGCTAAACCTGGGGTCAAACCCTGTTTACCTTTCCCAGGAGCTAAACCTGGGGTCAAACCCTGTTTACCTCTTCCCAAGAGCTAAACCTGGGGTCAAACCCTGTTTACCTCTTCCCAAGAGCTAAACCTAGGGTCAAACTCTTAACACTGACCCACTTCCAACAGTACTGTGGTCCTTTGCCACAGGGATGGCATTCTTGTGCCTTTGGCCACCATGCCCAAATGTGCATGCCAGGATGCTCCATCTTTTGACTTGGACTAGCACAGCCTCTGTTTAGTGGAGGACAAGTAGTGATATTTGAAGACATAATTTTGTTGTAAACAAAAATTTCCTCGTCTTACTTTCCACTTAATGGCTGTCTTAAAAAAAAAAAAAAGTAGGATGCCATATTTTATGATAAATTAAATTCCACTTAATATTTAAAGTCAACCATCAAACTATGTTCAGTGATCATTTTACAGTGTGTTTATCCATGGTTATCACAAAAATTCTTTAAAACCAGCAAGGAAATCAAAGAGCAGAAGGGTGGTAACACGATGATGATAACACAAAACAACTGAGAGTTATCTACCTTGTGTAACGTGGCCATCTACATCTTTCCTGCATGCACTTCTCACCACTTCAAGCTGCATGCATTCTCTCTCACACACACACACACACACACACACACACACACACACACACACACACATTGTATATTCCTAGGCATGCAGATGACAAATGAGAGAACTGATTATTAGAGATGCACAAATTTTGCCATATGATTTTCCTTTACTGCATGGATAATAAATTTGCAATATTTTTACAATGCTCACCCAGGACTCAAGGCAAGATATTACAATACTCATCCAGAACACCTTCAAAGAGTATATCATACATGTCCGGGACACGGTGCTAAAGAATACCGTACTCACTCAGGACACATTGCAATATATCGTTCTCGTCCAGAACACTGTGCAAGAGAATATCATACTCGTCCAGGACACAGTGGAAGACAATACAATACTCGTCCAGGACACACACGACATACCAGAAGGAATACAAAATTTTATGAGCGTATTTGCTGATGATGCTAAGATAATAGGAAGGATAAGAAACTTAGATGATTGTCATGCCTTTCAAGAAGACCTGGACAAAATAAGTATATGGAGCACCACTTGGCAAATGGAATTTAATGTGAAGAAATGCCATGTTATGGAATGTGGAATAGGAGAAAATAGTCCACACACAACCTAAAAATTATATAAAAAAGCTTTCAAGAATTTTGATAAATATAGTGATGGTTCTAGATAGAAAATGGTCACCTGAGGGCCACATAAAGAACATTGTATGAGTAGCCTATACTAAACTTTTTAATTTCAACATTTCTTTTAAATACTGTACATGGATGGTGAAATACTAAAGAAATTGTTCATGACCTCTGTGAGGCCAAAGTTGGAATATGCAGCGGTTGTGTGGTGCCCATATCTTAAGCACATCAACAAACTGGAAAAGGTGCAAAGACATGCAACTAAATAGCTTTCGGAATTGATGTACAAGAGCTACGAAGGTTAGTGGAATTAAATATGCCAAAGATAGAAGAAAGAGGGGCAGTATGATCACTATGTACAAAATAGTAACGGGAATCGTCAAAATTTATAAGGAAGAATTCTTGAGATCAGGGAACTTCAAGAACAAGAGGTCACAGATTTAAGCTAACTAAACAAAGCTGCCAAAGAAATACAAAAATTCACTTATGCCAACAGAGTGGTAGACACTTGGAACAAGCTAAGTGAGAAGGTGGTGCCGTCAGTAGTTTCAAGGCGTTATACAACAAAGAGTACTGGGAAGACAGGACACCACGAGCGTAGCTCTCATCCTGTAACTACACTTGGGTAATTACAGTGGAGAAAACATAGTACTGGTTTAGGACACTGTGGAAGAGAATGCAGTATTCGTCCAGGACACTGTGCGCGAGAATACCACACACACACACTAGCCATTACACAAAACCCTGATACTGACACCACATGCTACTCCCTCCGCAACATTCACTCTAAAATGTCATCCAATTCTGTATATAATTTAAAGCTTCTCTTTTGGTTTACATGCATTTGCAAACCATAAAATTGCACGCACACATCACTATCAAAACCTGACGTAGTAAGTCATCATTCAACAAATTTGAATTTGGGACAAGCCTGAATTAAAATTTTATTAAGGACTAATACTGTACCTCATTCAACCATTTATGTTTTTAAATTGAGTAAGGAAGTAAATCTTTGACTTAATTAATATTATAATATGGATATGTTCATGAAATCAACAAAAACATAAAATTCATAAGCAAAACAACAGATGATAATAAATACAAGATTATGTAGAGAAAGAGAAGTGTACACGTGATCACAGGCACACAGTTTTACACCAGTAAAACACCACATCATATTAATCTATGACAAGCATGGTCTTCACTAGGCAATGACTGGTGACACACACACACACACACACACACACACACACACTGGGATGTGCTTAATGTCTCGGTATGACAATAAGTCATACTATATAATGACCCGATATATTATATTGCACACTATATAATGTCTCGGGTCTAGCCTGTAACAAACATGGGGAAAGGGAGCTTTACCTCAAAATGTATGTAATAGTGTATTGGGTCTAGTCTGCAATAAATTAGGATGGGGAGCTTTAGTTTACATTCGTTTAGCCCCAAAAAGTTGACGGTCAGCATTCATTGCAAAATTAGGTTCTCCAGAATGACAAACCCCTAAGATGCATCCTACTTCCATGCACCACCTTTTAGGAGACTTTTAGTTCATCAAGTGAATTTAGCTTTGAATATTTAGTACTGGATACACTATGACATTAGACCCCTTAATACTGCTGACAAAAGTTGGGTTCTACTCATTGTCTACCTTGGTTACCTAGGTAGACAATGCCTTGTGGTTACCAGTGCTTATGCCTTGTAGTTACCAGTGCTTATGCCTTGTGGTTACCAGTGCTTATGCCTTGTGGTTACCTTGCCATAATTTCGGGGCTTAGCGTCCCCACGGCCCGGTCCTCGACTGAGCCTCCCCATCCATCCAGTTGGTAAAAATTACCTTGTTGTTAAAATTCTATTACCCTAAAAACTAATTTGGTAACAAATGGCACTTCTCCTGACTCATTATCTATATGCATCTAATCATCTTTGTCAATCACATTAGGTGGAGGACACTACTCTCCGTGGTACGCACAAACGTATTTTAATCCAGTAACACTTATATAAAGGCCCCAAACTTGACTAATCTTTCTGACCTAAGGACTGTTACCTCGAGTGAGAGACAGCTGTAGTATTTCCATCAGGCATGGTTCCTGTCACTCAACAAAACTACTGATTGAATGCTTTCATTTGTGATCATAAGCTGCCATTGTTTGTCCAACTTCCTTTGTCGTGCAAAAATAGGGAGGAAGCAATGCAAGAGTTATTGCAAATTGTTTACAGGAATTTCATAAAAAATATCTGCTATGTCAATAGAGAAAATGATCCCCCACAAATTGCCGCTCTGAATTAGCTTGTTTCACGAGGGTTACAGGTTAGTATTTTAACTAGTGATAAAATCATTGTTGATTTTGTTGTAGAGTACATCTTACTATTACCTGTAGAAGAACATGAAGATGCCGGTCAAGACTACAGTCTTAATGCAACACCTGCAACTTGGTAACCAAGATACACTATACTGTATGACCAGAAACTTTCAGAAAGGTATAATTGCTAATATAATTCAGCTTTTTAATAGCTAGTATCACATAGCACTACCACAAGAACAAAATATAAATATATAAAAAGTCCTTAAGCAAGAGTAGCCAGCTGCAGGACAAAGAACAAAAAAATATTTGTCAATTTCCAAGTTACACCACATCAAATAAAAACAGAATACTGTATAAACATACACAGAATATAAAATTTCTTTCTTTCTTGCAAACTCTTCTTTCTACTATGCACAGGATGTGTAGCGTGAGAGCACTGCCACCTCTCGCTTCATCGCTGCATCAGGCACACGTTCCCAGATCTAACATTAAAAGTAAGGGTGGAGGGGATGAGGGCATGTTGCTCACCTGTTGATTATAATAGACCATCTCCAGTCATAAAATGGGCTGTGTTGGGGCTTTGTATACGATCACCTGTAAGCAACGCACAAACACGGCCTCGGGCCACTTTTTCACATGCGTGGAAACGAGAAGAAATGAGCCTACTCCAAAAGCTGAAAAATAAAATCCACAAAGTCCAAAATATCCAGTGATTCTTTTATTTACACACTTTTATTATTTGTCCCATTCTCCACTACCCCCAATTAAAAAAAAAGTTTGGGTAGCTAAATTTACAAAACATTTTGCAAAATGGTATATATTTCTGTCATTATGTCCCTATACATAATACCCAGTAGGTAAACATTTAGGCAGATAGCTGTGGGTTCTACCATATACTGAAGCCTTTCCTTGGACTAAAACATAAGAACACTTAAAGGCCTTGCTTATATTCTCACAGCAAGTGGGAATGAACAGCCCATTGAGAAACCAAAGCTGGCACGAGCTTTACCAACTATCGTAGCAACCCAGACCCACGAGAAAATACCAAGGGCATGCAATAGGATCAATCTGGTATCCCTGGACTCTCGAGACACATGCACTATCAACAACCATACCAAGGTCACAGTAGTTAGGTGGGTAGTGGGTGTGTCTGGGGAGCCCACGAGTGCAGGTTGGATCTCATTTCACGACCTCAGTATTTTCTCATACGTACATCACGTTCTTTTGATGTCATTGTGCAAACCAGACCCATGATAATATTTGAAATTATAGCACAATCTTTTTGTTAAAGCATTCATTTTTACAGCAAATTTCATCCAAAACCTTAAAAAGTTTAATGTAGGCATTTGTATGTAGGGTTTTCAAGTTAAACATGCCAAGGGTACATCTCAAACTACCAGAGGAACAGCCCCCAGCTGTCATTAGGGCCGTGTTTTACATCAGGAACCTAGAGTACCCTAGGCAGGTCCTGAGTGCAAGTTGCAGGTCCCCGGCATCGAGCAGGGAGTCGGGTATCACAGGCTGAGCTGACTGAAGTAACGGCGGCAGAAGACGGCAGCAATGGGGGGAGGCGTATCTGAACGTGACAGCAGCTTGCCATAGGACTGTTCATTGCGCTCGTATGCACGACGGTACTCACGGTCAAATGATGCTGGAAGTGACCCATACAAATTAAAAATTGGGTTCAAGATACACCTACATATGCAGTAAAAGTAAGTTATTCAGGCCACTAATGAGAACTGAACAAGGCAGTCTTAACAATGAATTAGCAAAAACATGCAATGAAAAGCAGAGCTAAGAAAAAGTCGTGTCGAGCATAATTAGATACCCTTTTCTTGGCTTGAGTGTCAGTGACTTCCATAGCTTATGGCTTTATATTATGACAGGGGTACAGTATTTAGAAACAGTTGACTTCTCAATTACCCCTTGATCCCTAGAGAAGTGGGAAGCATTTGAAGATCAGAGGTACTCAAATTAATGTCTACCACTTTGTATAAAGTCACAAAATGCCTAAATTTATGCAGATTGGTCTACACCCATCCCCCACTAATCTCATCCCAGTACAGCCAAATGCCCAGAGAAAAGAAAAATAAGGGTATTACCAGGAAGCCACCAAGGCACCGAGATGTTTCTCTACACTCAACATACTATTTCTATGCCCTACCCTCAGTGGCTTCCCTAACCTACTCAACTCTGCCGCCACAGAGAAAACCACTGGAGGACGGAACACAAAACAGCAGACTGGAAATTATATGGAGCAACAAAAACAAGTACTGTACCTAGAACCCACAATGCACAAAAATCTTAGGCAAGTGCCATACTCCTGCACTACGGATGAAAGAACAAAGGAGGTATTGACCTAGCTGTTATGAACCACTATACAATATTCAGTATGCAATATTTTGGGTAGAGTTTATGTTGCAATTTAGCTAGAAAATTATATAAAAAGGGGTGTAGATATTTGTTCCTCGGAGGCAGCTGGCTGCCGGCAGACTGTAGCTTTCTGAGATCTTCCGCCCATGAAAGTAGTGCCTGCAGTCATGAGTTGATTATGGATTACCCGTAGAATGCCTATGTATATATGTTTTGTAAAGAAAAATGGACTCTTTTAAACTATCAGTAATGTTAATTGGGAATATTTTGCGATTAACCTCTGAACTACACATACTGTAACTCTTTAAGGAGCTTGATCAGGGGTGTGCACAGTGCCTTTAGGTGCTCATAGGTATATTGGAGGATTCAAAACTGGCTCGTGGTCACTTGGGTACGAGATGAAGGCCTGAGGCCTCCAGTGAGATTCCGCTATCTTGGAAAAAAATCCCGATCATGCCGCATGGCTGTGGGCAGCCCGCTTCACGGTAGGAACCATGTTGGATGTATCCACATCGAGCTTCCGGTCCCTGGTTGGCCGCATGTTGACAAAACACATACTGATGTTGAAATACATGACATTGTTTGAAGACGACTGTGCCAGTGATGTTGAAGACTCAAATCCAGAAAAAGACCTAACACAGCTGTCTGATACTAGTGATACGGACATTGAAGTAGACGATACGGAGTGTACAGTACCCGGCTCTCGCCAGCCCTGGTGCACTGGCCTAGGTCAACACCAGTGGATTCACCATTACAACTTGTGCCATCTGACGTGTCTCTACAAAGTGGGAATATAGGTGACGAGTCATTTCCTGGGTCTACAATCAATCCTAAAACTCAACCTCATAAAACAAAGAAGACTCGCTTCTATAGCAACAAGGGCCGAGACCGGCACCCGCCAACAATGAAATGCATGAACAAGTAAACAATCTGTGATTTGAAACCCCACTACCCAATAATAATAATGCACTCTTTAAAACTGTGAATTGGGAGAAAGAAGTTAGTGCGTGTGTGGATTAAAAAATATTAGAGGAACAACCTTTAGTGCTAAAGTTAAAACTAACAAAATATTGCTCTTAATCAAGATGGGGATTCATCATAACTCAACCAGCAGAGATATGAAGTAACAAATCCTGAAATGTATAAGACTGGAAAACAACAATGATCTAAAATCTTGCAGAAGAAATAAATGCAAGCCCTTTGCTCAGTGATTTAACGCTCAAGCACTCGAGCACTACCAGGTATCTGATCAACACGACAAGACAATTTAAAGGACAATAATTAGCTCTTCTGCACTTAAGTCTCACTCGGTGACAGTCTGCAAGAACTATGTGGCCTGAGATAGACTTAAGAGAGTGTCAATCCAAAGGATGAACTAGATGTTCTGAGAATACAATGCTTATAGAAAAATACAAGGCAATGACAGCAAGTGCTGAAGAGTCTAAACTATTGAGACACATGCAACATCAAAATGGTATTACATTCTTGTGAAACTTGAGACGTGACTACTGCAAAGGCCAAATGGCCGAGATAAACTGATAACTTGTGTTGCTCAGAGACGGTGGTCTTCGTGAACACAAAATAACTAGTGTCCGAGGCACCAGGCAGCTTGAGCAAGGTCCAACCCATCCTCAGACCAAGTCCATTCCATCCAGCGGCCGACCAGCAGTATGAGCACATCCTACACGTACCACACTCCTGGTCCCCCAGCAGTATGAGCACATCCTACACGTACCACACTCCTGGTCCCCCAGCAGTATGAGCACATCCTACATGTATCACACTCTTGGTTCCCCAGCAGTATGAGCACATCCTACACGTACCACACTCCTGGTTCCCCAGCAGTATGAGCACACACTACACTCTTAATGTCTTTCTAAAATAACAAAATGAAAACTCACTGAGATTAAGTTGGGCGGGCGGGATACAGGAAGAGGCCAGAAAGAGCAGATCTCTGTATATGGGAAAGTGGTTTTTCTTGTGTAGAGCGGGCCGCTTGCGCAGCTCCTGCAGCACCAGCTTCATGGCCATGGTCAGGTCGTCAATGTGCACCGCCGTTATCACGCTCTGTATAACACTGCATTAATGAAAAATGTTGAATTAGTTTAAAGATAAAAAGCTGCTTCACAATTTTCATGGGACATCTTGGTCAGCTGTTGTATCTGTCTACAAGTTTATTCGTCCATGTCTGCATGGACTAAGCCTATTCATCAATGTCTGTGAGGCCTGTAAGCCTATTCATCAATGTCTGTGAGGCCTGTAAGCCTTTTCATCTATGTCTGTGAGGCCTGTAAGCCTATTCATCTATGTCTGCAAGGCCTGTAAGCCTATTCATCTATGTCTGCAAGGCCTGTAAGTCTATTCATCTATGTCTGCAAGGCCTGTAAGCCTATTCATCTATGTCTGCAAGGCCTGTAAGCCTATTCATCTATGTCTGCAAGGCCTGTAAGCCTATTCATCTATGTCTGTGAGGCCTGTAAGCCTATTCATCTATGTCTGCAAGGCCTGTAAGCCTATTCATCTATGTCTGCGAGGCCTGTAAGCCTATTCATCTATGTCTGCAAGGCCTGTAAGCCTATTCATCTATGTCTGAGGCCTGTAAGCCTATTCATCTATGTCTGCAAGGCCTGTAAGCCTATTCATCTATGTCTGTGAGGCCTGTAAGCCTATTCATCTATGTCTGTGAGGCCTGTAAGCCTATTCATCTATGTCTGCAAGGACTGTAAGCCTATTCATCTATGTCTGCAAGGACTGTAAGCCTATTCATCTATGTCTGCAAGGACTGTTTGTGATGCTTCAAACAGCCAAATCAATTATTACCTTGGTATGAAATAATTGACAAAGAAATTACTAAACAATTCCAAACAAAGAAATAAGGTGGAAACAACATTAAGGACAGAATTAAGAAGACTAAACACAAAGTAAAGCAAGATTAGATAAATGGGAAAATTGGACAATATACTTATCAATCTGGTACACATATTCTATTTGCATATATTCTAGATGCCTTCTATCATCTGTATTACTGTTCCTTGAGGAATGGTGCAAAACATTACCTGCTTGATGGGGTTCTGGGAGTTGTTCTTCTCCCCAAGCCCGGCCCGAGGCCAGTCTTGACTTATGACAATTTGGTCCACCAGGCTGTTGCTTGGAGCGGCCCGCATGGCCACATACCCACCACAGCCCGGTTGGTCCGGCACTCCATAGAGAAAATGATCTAGTATTTTTTTGAAGATGTCCACGGTTGTTCCGGCAATATTTCTTATGCTTGCTGGGAGGATGTTGAACAACTGTAGACCTATGATGTTTATACAGTGTTCTCTGATTGTGCCTGTGGCACCTCTGATCTTTAGTGGTTCTATTCTGCATTTTCTTCCATGTCATTCACTCCAGTATGTTGTTATTTTACTGTGCAGATTTAGTACTTGGCGCTCCAGTTTCTTCCACGTGTATATTATTTGATATCTCTCTCGTCTCCTTTCTAGCGAGCGTCTCAAAGCTCTACATTCGGAGAGCTTTGAGACGATCCCAATAATTTAGGTGCTTTATCTCGTCTATGGGTGCCATATATGTTCTCTGTATTCCCTCTATTTCAGCAATCTCTCCTTCTCTGAAGGGGAAGTGAGTACTGAGCAGTACTCAAGACAGGGCAGTACAAGTGATTTGAATAGTACAACCATTGTTCAATCCATCTATTTCATCTATATCTATCCTGCTGTACACACGACAAAACTACAACGTCGCTGCAACGTTCAAACAAAGTGTAACACTGTCTGACAAGTGGTAACAACTATCTAGCAACTTGTAGCAACTTTCTAACATGTCAAAAACTTTCTAACAAGATGTAACAACTTTTGTAACATGTAACAAGGTAGCAATATGGACCATTTTGTTGTGTGTTTGCAGGAATGTTTTACCCAATAACCAGAACTGCACTACACAGCGTAGTAAGCAATGCCGTTTAGAGTGGTTATGATTATTTTCAAATATTTTTCAAAATTAATTTTCTCCTTACAATATTGATATATTGAGAACATGAATTTCTAACTTTAGGATATGGCAGGATCGGACAGGTTAAGCTAGAATAGGTTAGGTAGATTATATTGAAAATTTCCCCGATACTAGCCTAACTTAGGTTTGAGTAAAAGTTTTAAAAAAATCCCAATTATGTACGTAAGGAAAAACTTTATCATTACGTATGAAGCATTATATACTATACTGGTATCTCTCTCTCTCAAAATATAATATGGTACAACATATGGTGATTAATTTCTATTGCCATACAGTATTTTATAATTCATAGTTCTTAAATATCTCGCCGGTACTCCAACTTGGCCACAGACCTATTCACTTATGCTCTCAGTCTACCATATTATTTGGCTCCAAACAGCTCAACGAAGCAAAGAGTGGATACTTACTCCCTGGGCACCTTGCTGCGCTCCTTCACCAGCGCCGACACCAACTGCGATGGTCTCTTGTCCTGCTGCCACTGCACATACATGGGCTGGCCCAGCTACACCAAAGAAATGAACCCGATATGCCATATCAAATTTATAGAACAATAGCGGAATGAAGAACGACTGGTGGATGGTTGTAAAATGAAGAATGACAGGTGAATGGAAGTTGTGTATTTCATCTTCTCATGTGATGATTACCTATGAAAAGGACACTTAACACTTTCGCGCTCCGTGGAAACTCGCGGTTGACAGGGGGATCGTGGCCCCTCCGTGCGGGTAAGCGCGCGGTGACACCCAAATGTGTATACTCGTTCCAGTTTTCTCACCTTAATTCTCGCGCTACGTCGCTCGTTTTGGTATCATTGTGTTCGCAATTAAATTCTCTACAGGTGTGTATAAATATAATGTCCAAAAGCCTAGCGTGACTCCCAACAGCAAAGCGTAAAGTCGGCAAAAACGCACAAAATCAGTAACATGTGCATTCTCGTTCCATTTTTTTACCTTAATTCTCGTGCTACGTCGCTCGTTTTGGTATTATTGTGTTCGCAATTAAATTCCCTACAGATGTGTGTGAATAAAATGTACAAAAGGCTGGAGTGCCTCCCCGCAGAAAAGCCTAAAGTTACCCGTGAACGAGCACAATTTTGTACATTGCAACCTAATGTTCAACTCGTTCAATTTGATAACATCAAATTTCGTGCTACGTCGCTCGTTTTGGTATCAAATTGTTCGCAATAAAAAGGCGAGTATTTTAAAACTAGTCCCAGAATAATAGAGCAATAATTGGATTTTTAACAAATATTTTAATTCTGGACGCTCATCATCACAAATTTATTTATATCTTCCCAGTGTTCTGACATAAATATTTGTCTTACATCTTTCATTTTGGTATCAAATTGTTCGCAATAAAACGGCGCGCATTTTAAAACTAGTCCCAAGATAATAGGACAATAAATAGAATTTTAACAATTATTTTAATATTCGGACCATAGGCCTATTTATAATATTTCAAGTGTTTGGACATCAAGTTTCATGTTATATCTTTGATTTTGGTATCAAATTGTGTGCAATCTAAGGGCGCTTATTTTAAAACCACTACCAGATTGATCTGATAAAATTTAAATTTTTAAAAAATATTTTAATGAGTGACTCAGTATTGCGTCGTTGGAACACATTCAGTAGAAAAATGAGTGACGAGATAATCAGTCTGTGGAACCTCAAAGTGTTAACATTTGACAAAACCATCATTATTTCTAATAATAATGGTTATTGTACAAAATAAGCAAATTTAATGATGCAATGAGTTATATTTCCTCATATAATCCTAAACTAAATTTACATGGCAATGTTGTTTTCCCACGTAAAACTGAGAAAAAAAAACTAGTACAAAAAGAAGACGAACCTCTTCGTGATACTTGGTGTTATCCCACAAGCATCTGATGTAGACATTCTGCCAGTCTGCTCCGTCCCAGGATGGATGTGGTACTCGGTCACGGGCGACGGTGGCGGCGGTCAGACACAGGCCCGGCAAGTGACTGGGAACCCTCAGCCGACAGAAGTACCAAAGCTGGCACAAGTGTTGTGATAAAATTCATGTTAAAGATTTTGACCAATAATGTGCTTAATCATTAGTCCGGTACTCCGGACCACAATAGCATAGCTTTCATACTGTATCTGTACCTACTAATTAGCCACTAACATTTTCCTCTGTATATTTTTTAAACAACAATTTAATGATGATAAAGAGCATGTAAAATAATTATCATTATCACTATCACATTTCACACTTTCATTGTGCATGGAAGTATCAAGGATTAAAAGTAAGTAAGATACAATTGCACGTGGATAAAGAAGGCCCATCACACTTGAGGAGTCATCAAGGAGCAGCACTGTACTGCTTCACAACACTAGGTGCACGGCTCAGCCTTCTCAACTATCAAACACGGGGCACATACAAATAAAGTGACTTCTTCCTTACAAGCTCTTGCCACTTAGTTGTGTCCCTCAACATCTCCAAATGTCTTTTCACACAAACTTACTTCTTCAATTCACTTGCCATGTCCTCCCGCCATCCAGTCCATTCGCTTGATTTGCCACATAAAACGTGTGACCGTTTTGAGCAACCCAAAATGCACAAACCCAAGCAACCCACCTAAAATATCAAGGTCAATGGCATCAATATTACAGTTTTAATTTCTACTATTTTTTAATTTTAATTGACTTTGATTCTGTAAGAAATGCAACATTAGGCGAGAGGACGGGTTTCTTCATCTTACCGGCCTTCCTCTCTTCATTCCCCAACTCTCAAGTTTACCCGAACATGCACTATGCCAGTCTACTATTATCTGTTTATTCAACATGCCTTAATCATCTTGGAATGTTCCCCATTATGCACTTTTTTTAACTGTTGTTTTCCACATTTCTCCATGATATCATTATTCCATATATTTATTCTCCTAATAAATACTTCTCAGACTGTCCATTTCAACTGCTCTAATTCTTGATTTTTCATGTTAATATCGGACAGTTTTCTTACACACGAACACATAGCACATAGCATAGTATTAGCACTCTTATGCCACCCTCTGGAATGACTCGCTCTACTCTATTCTTATAAAGATCTCATTTATCAATCGCATATTCCAGGAATGTAAGCTGATCAGTCTCTTCTAGCATTTCTCAAACATTTATTTTACACAATCTCTCTCTCATTCTTACCCTCTTCCTTATGATGCTGCATTTGCTTTGGTGAGCTCAATAAATTTTAAGCTATCTGATGTCATTGCTCGATCCTTTGTATGCCAGTTTCCTACTACAAAAGAATCAGATTGCATCTTGTATCATATCCCATTCAAGTTCTTAATTTGTTCCATCTTCTTGTCTATAATTTATTACTGTTGAAATCATGTTATTTTCAGTTGTCCAGTGGAAGACTTTACTTATAGAGTATGTTTATAGTTTTTCAGTGTCTTCTACCAAAGTAATATTTACACTGATTTTGTTAATACTGTATCTGCAAAAGATGAAATGAAACTGAGATTTTTACTTTTGTCCAAGAAATGCAAACGGTTGGACACCATTCCATAACGTGAACACTACAGCATGCAACCCGTGCCAAGACAAATCCCAGTGAACGTCATCTTAACACTTTCACATGCCAGGAAATGCTCCCAGGAAATGCCAGGCCCACCATCCCAAGGTGGCCCTGGCATTTCCTGGGGAGCACTCGCCCACACTAACATATGTACTCTTTTCAGTGTTCTAACCTCAATTTACGAGCTTCGTCGTTCATTTTGGTATCAAATTGTTCACAATCTAAAGGTGTACATTTTAAAACTAATCCCATAATGATCGGATAAAAAACCAGCGTTGAATGTAATGAAACGCCATTTTCTGGGCAAGACTTGGAGGCTCCCAGGAGATATCCAGGCTGATATGTAACTATTAGCTTTCTGGCATCAAAGTGCATGGAGTTCTTGCTTACCGGGGACCACAAGCTAGACCCTAGCCCCTCAGAGGCCAGGTTCTGAGGGAAAGGGGCTCCCTGCCAAAAATATAATTTTAACAAATATTTTAAATTTTGACGCAACATGGGACACCAGCAGACATGTATTATTTTATATATTGACGCAGACTGCATCGCCGCCAGACGAAAGTGTTAACTAAATTGCCTCCGCAGAGCTGGTTGCTGATGAGCTACCAGGTAAAAATTGAGGGAAACTGGCTTGTCTGACACTATTGTGGTAGCACGTGCTGCTACCTGGTAGTCGTCAGTGTACAGGATAGTTACAAATCAGTAGTTGGCAGAGCAACATTTGGTGTTCCTTCCAATTCCAATGATTGTATTGGGTGGACTAGTTCCATTTACCTTATAGCAAGCTATCATGAGGTGACAAAATTTGAAAAGTTAATGGACACAGCATGGAAAAGTTCAACAAGACCCTGGCATGTGAACAGTGCCCTGGGCAGACCTAGACTTTGGCTTGGGGAGCAACCGAGAGGACTATAGCTCAGATACGTATATTATTGTTAAGTCACACAACAACACTGTGTCACAATTATGTGCACTGAAGCATGAGTAGTATTACACAGTCCAGTTTATCTGTAACTAAATCTTATGTTTATAGCACACAAATTTGCAATATGTTAAGACTAGGCAATATTATAGCCAATCAAATTACAGTTGGTATTGATTCCATCCCATTGTATGGCTCTGATACTTTCTTGCAGGCAAACCTACACACAAAAGATGGGCAAAACACATACCAGGTTCCAGTAGAGGATGGGATGGTGGTCAGTGAAGGCGGCATCAGTAAGGCAAGTGTCACCCTCGTGGCCAAGCACAGTTTCCAACTCCTTGCGTAGCACTAGAGGACTCAGGTACGGAACAGTTATTGGCTCGCAACGCACACCCTGGTGAAAAATAGTTAACGCGTTACCAAACTTGCCTTAAAAAACAATTAATTAGAACTGTTGTCATTATGCATAAAAATCAAGTTTTGAGTAAAAATAAAAAGCTGTTTTCTGAGTAGGATGCTCAAATGCTCCCCAAGACCGTATCACTGCCTAACAATTATTGGACAGTGACATTCTGCTCGAGAGCAAGCTGAATCTTTTCTAACATTCCCGCTGGATCATATTGGTGTGAGGGAGACCCAGTCAAGCCCTGAATGATCATATAAAATTCACTCACAAACTATGCCTTCTAAACCTTTTTTCCACCACAAGAATTGCAAACCAATTCTACTGGAAATGGCCAGCTGACCCACTTGGTCATTACTCAGACTGCCAACAGATGGCAGCAATATCACCAACATCCAGTCCCTTGCCTCAAGACTCGTGACATTCTGGCCGACAAGAAGAGGAATCTCGACAAAGAATCGGAGTATCCTGCTAAACAAGGAGAGTTTCATTTCACTCTGAGCCTGATTTCTCAGATATTCCCTACAGATATTTCCTTTGGCAAGTGTGAGAAACAAATGATAAGCAGCAAGTAAAACAAAGGAGAATTACACGAGACATAAGCCGATTATGAATACCTGTCACTCAATTATCAGATATTACTAACTCATCAGATTAAATAGCTAAATTAATCATCAATTTAAAGTACAATCAGTAAGCACACCAGTAATGTTATGGGAAAACCTCGTGCAAAGCAAACTTGTCATTTTTATGGGGAAACTAGAATTATGTTCCAGACCAATAGAAGTCCACATTTTTCACACTACTGTATAAATAAAATGCCTCCCTCAATATAATTATTTAATGCTCCTGCCATATTTGTGCCATAAGTGGATTACCACACACAACGTAATGCAGAATACATGGGATGTGCTACAATGCAAGATAAGGTTTTGATCAAACATGTAAAGCACTTTCTGAGCTCTCACAATCACTTGTTCCCTAATCCCTTGTGTCATACAGGATACATATACAGGGTCCTGTAGTACAGTTGTCTATGTTCTCGAATCAAAATTATGGATCCAGGGTTCAATCTCTGGCAGGGACAGAATTGGTTTGCCCATTTCCTTTCATCCAATTCCTTTGTTCACTAAGTAGTAATTAGGTCCTCAGAAGTTAGGCAACTGTTTCACGTTGTATCCCGGGGAAGGTCAGTCACTGGCCTAGTGGGGATCCATGATGAGCCATTGTCAGCCATTGTGCATTGTGCAGCACCATACACACACACTGATGGCAAGGAAACAACTCAGCAACTCTGCCCATTTGTTTCCGCCATCGATCCCCAAGCGCTCCGTTGTCCAATGATGTCAGGGAGAGAGCACACACAATTCTGAGCTCTGTAAACATATATCTAACACTTGAGTGCACCATGGCAACTAGTGGGTGCATGGTAAATAGCATTAACATGCAGCCACAGGACACACAGTGAAATCTTGGAGGATGGAGTATGCTTTTCCAAGGAGTCCTCCCTCCCTTTCATGGTACGAGGCTCGCTCAACTGATGACCAGCGGTAAAAGCAAGAAAAAACAAAAACTGTCTTAAGAGCACTATTAGAAAATAAGGAAAGGATGCGTAACCTTGTTGAAGAAAAGAAATCAAGGATTCATCACAAGACCAGGCAGACTGTAATGAAGCCTGGATGTAATGAAGACTGTAATGAAGATTGTAATGTAATGATGATTGTAATAATAACTGTAAAAGCAAATAGGAAAGAAACATGACATTGTGGATCCAGGAGCACTGACCTATACAAAATAATCTACTTAAGACATTAGTCTTCTTTCCTTGCAAAGCCAAGTGAAAAGGGACACGAGAAGAGAGAGAGAAGGCAATCACCTTGAGAAGAGCCAAAACATCTCCAAAGTATCTCAAAATGACAAGATGTCTGAAGATTACTTCAGTTGATTTAAGGGGTGACAACAACTAAATGATCAGATGCATATCTTGAGGTTATCTCGAGATGATTTCGGGGCTTAGCGTTCCGGTCCTCGACCAGGCCTCCTTTTTGTTACACCCCCCTTCCCTCAGGAAACAGCCTGTAGCAGCTGTCTAACTCCCAGGTACCTATTTACTGCTAGGTAACAAGGGCATCAGGGTGAAAATCATTTTGCCCATTTGTCTCCGCCTCCACCGGGGATCGAACCTAGAACCTCAGGACTACGAATGCAAAGCGCTGTCCACCCAGCTATCAGGCACCCTTGAAGCACAAAAAGCATACTGCATCCTTTGTCAGAAGAGCCTACAGTAACATTCCTACCATTTCCTCCCAAAACTTTGGTAACAGAATTGCCCTAAAAACTCCATGTGAAGATTGACAGTCTGGAACAGCACGAATGGAGCCAACAGCTAACCCATTTTGTGAAGAGCAGGAAATGAAGCAGGGTTGAAATATCCGGCCAATACCAGTGTAGGAACAGCTAAAGGACAGTCAGTAAGATGATAGACTTCTAAGGTTTGCAGTCTTAGGAGAGATGGGAGCACCATCTTGAGTGGAGGAGAGATGAATGATCTCCCACTCTGGTTTCTATTAAGAAAATACATGTCCACGGCAAATGTATTGCAACTGTGCAAAGAACGCCCACAAACAGGCAGCTTGTAGACCCATGCAGAGGTGAAGAGATCCACTTGGGAAATGCCAGATGTAACCGATACCCACAGAAGGATGCCGTGTCCACCTTCCAATTTTAATAAGATGGACAAAACTGGGAGAGACTGCCAGCTAACACCATCAACACCCTATGACTGTGGACTACTGAGAGAACTAAATTACAAGCCAGATGACAGGCTATAGTGAGATACCACTACCAAAGCAAACTGATCCCTCACTTACTATGTTGCATATTTTTTATAAATTAACCAGTTAAAAATGAAACGCATTGCTAAAAAATAAAGCACAGCAATATTGACACTTGCTATACATCAGCATTGGTAGGTTATCATGGCGAGTTGTTAGAGTTTGTACGTTTCTCGCTGGGAAAAATGGTCAAGTGTTTTACACTGTGGAAAATCAAGAGAAAGGGTTGACCAACAGGCAATGGAGTGAGCCAAGCTCCTCTGTTTAATGCAATGGATGACTGCCACATTTCAATCTGATTACAGAGTCCTTGGAAAGAGCCAAGCACCTCGGCACTAAATCCATTAGGACAACTTGAGTATGCCGGTACATTCAAAAGCCAGAGCAGTAGGCCACCACCTCTGATCCACAATATGCAGACTGATGACAAACCCCAACCATGATGAGACATGTCCAAATAAATGCTTGAGAGATGAAGGAAAATCCAAACTGAATCCTCCAAAAAGCCACCAATTGAAGACTGGAAGGGCTTTGAGTCTTCATGAATAAACAGTTAGCAGTCATTCTGGACTGGACTGTGCTCAACTCATGACTGCCTTCAAGGACCCTGCAGGGGCATTTGAAAATATTCATGTGACACTTGTGCCTAGAATGTATCTTAAGACACAAAGGATAATTATCCCAGGAAGCAACCAAGTGTGATAGCCTAGTAATAATGTTCAAGATACAGTAATTGAGATTATCATAGAGGTTTGTGTATGGTATTTGAGGAATGTGTACCAAAAACAGAATGTCGGAATGCAAAATTCATGCAACCAACTCGCAGACGGGTGCACTCACTCCCTCATACTATGAACTTCCATCATATGATGTGATGCACACAGCCAGTTGAACATGAGATGTGCACCTCCAGTCAATCATATGATATGCTGATCAAGCACCTGTCAAGCACCATATGCACCACTGGTCAAGCATTATATGATGTCATACCAGATAAGGCACTGGCTTAACCCTGGAATAAAAGGGTTAAGCCAGTGCCTTACAAGTAAACAAGGTAAGATTACATATACAGAGTTAGTGCATTACTCTTACCTTTTGCAGCTGAGATCCAATTTGATCCTTTAACTGAGAGTCCAGCTTCCCGTCATCCTTCACGACCTCCCTGGCCAAAACACTTCGGTCCGGAGCATCACCTGTGCCTCCAGTGGGAGCTGGAAAGATCCCCACACCTAAACTAAAGTTATACTGAACAACTATTTTCAAATACTGGCCAACACAGGTGATTTTTTATTTTTATGATATACAGTATAGTACTGGCCAATAGGGATAATTTTTTTATGAAGTATTTGGAAATCGATACATAATAATTATATTCAGGTTGCTAGAAAGGGTATAAAGTTACCTGGTCTTGGTTTCCCAGACTCCAATGGATCTTCTGTGTCTTTAGATGGTCTCGGTTGTTGCCGAAGATCGTATATTGTGATTGTAAGGAGCGGCACAGTCATCTTCTCACAAAATGTGCATCTGCGAGACAAAAAAAATAAAATAAAAAAAATCTTCTAGAGCAACTAGGCAAAATACTATGGCAATGACCAGATAATCCCAGTTGTTAGGCATAGGAAATCTATACTTAGGATTATTGAGGTCCTCACAAGGCAACTATTACCTTTCCCCAGGATGCAACCCACAACAGTTGCCTAACTCCCAGATGCCTATTTAATACTAGATAACAAAGCATCACGTGAAAGGAAATACTCCCAACCGTTTCTGTCTTGCCCAGGGACCAAACAAGGACCCCTAGATTGTGAAATGAAAATGCAGACCTCTGTGCTAAAGACCCATAACATTCCTTTTGAAGATTACCCTTCGACGATTCAGAGGATCGACGTCGTCGATCCTCTGATGTTACTGCCATTGTAACATTACATGATGATACAATGGCAGGGAGTGAGCATTAAGCACACAGAACACAAGTGACTTTACCACCAATACTCTCAACTCTACAATGAAATGTAGTATATTAGTGATAGTCACCCTTGACATTTTGTTTAGAAAATACCGTATCCATGTACAGTACAAAATAACAACAACTCACTTGGTATTGAGATTAGAGTCATCGGGTCTCCATCCGGCCATGATTTCTTCATCATAGAGAAGCGCAGCACAGTTGTGGCACCGCGTACATGACGTGAGCCAGAGACCTAGGCAGAATGGCCCTGCAGGGTCCCAGCCGAGTGGAGGGAAGAGGTCCTGCTGCATCGAGACAGCTTCTCCCTCGCTGCCTGCTGCTGCAAAACCTGACCCTGAAAATAAATTATTAAAAAATCATCGTTGAATGCAATGAAACGCCATTTTCTGGGTGAGACCGGGAGGCTTCCCGGAGCTATCCAGGCTGATATGCTAATGTCAGACTTTGGCATCAGTCATGTGTATGGAGTTCTGGGGGGCCTACCGGGGACCACAAGCCAGAACCTGGCCTCCCTCAAAAGAGGCACGAGAAGCAATGGCCTATAGAAACCCCCGTGTCTTTGGGAGCATTCTATGTCTGCCATTGACCGGGTCAAGCACCCAGAAAGGTAAGTGTCCCAAAACAAACCCCTATTCTGGTGAAAATTGCTACAAAGAGTCGAACAAGTGGATAGAAGTCCCCAAAACGAAATGAGCAAACGATCATGACGTCACACTTCGCCGCGCCACAGTCTGCGCAGCTTCCCCCTCCCCAGGAGGGGGAAGGAGCCCCAGACCCCCGTGCCGGCCATCCACCCTTTAATTCTGAGGCTGGATATCAAAAGATGAGAAAAACGGCCGACCAGGGGGAGGGAGGGATGCCGGGGAGTCTCCGGGTCTCACCCAGAAAATGGCGTTTCATTACATTCAACGCTGGTTTTCTGGGGGCAGCCCCTTTGGCTTCCCGGAGATAACTACCCACAGAGGAAAATTAGAGGGACTTACCCGGGAGGCGGTTGCCGCTCACTCCTCAACCCAAAGTTGAGACAACTGGCTGCAACCGCTGACCCAAAGCAACAACTATTATCAACAAGTACACAGGTACTACACCACACAACACCCATACTATTACCAAAACTGGATGAAACACTACCGAAACAACACACCCTGGACCTGGGTAGAGAAGGGTGGGGGGGGGAGAACTACCAAAGCCCACAAGAAGTGACACGCAATATGGGAAATCATTCATATCTGCAAACGCACAAGGTCTAAAACCAAATTCAAAAAATAAAGTTAAGTTCATAAATTGCCTCCTAATAGAATCAAACTCAATATTTGGTGCATTTACAGAAACCCACACAAAAGACCACATGGATAGTGAAATCTGGATCCCAAATTATAATCTATATAGATGTGACAGAGTAATTAGGTCAAGTGGAGGAATAGGTCTGAAAATTAAAAAGGAGCTGGCATGCACAGAGCTCCTGAAATCGTCCAATGAAGTGGTAGAGGTACTTGAAATCAAGGTAGAAAATATTAATCTACATATTACTTTAATATACAAACTGCCCGATGCAGCAGTTGAGGAATTCGCTGAACAGACCCACAAAATAGAGAATATCCTTGATAACCTAGCAAATCCAGTACCAGATATTATCTTTTTTGGAGACTTCAATCTACCCAATTTAAAATGGAAAACAGTAAACAATAACATTATAGCAGGAAATCAACCTGGAAATAACCAACCACAGGTCAGAGAACTACTGAGATTCTGTGACAAATTCTTGCTCAGTCAGCAGATTACAGAACCAACTAGGAACGAAAACACGCTGAACCTGATATTCACGAACAATGAGTAGCTAATCAGACACATTACTGTCTCAGACACTACGTACTCGGACCACAACCTCATTGAAGTGCAAACTAACATTAATAACGGTAGTAGGCCCAAGAGAAACAACAAGCGAGAAGGGCTATTCAATAAATTCAATTTTAATAATAAAAGGATAGACTGGGAGAAAATAAACAGGGAACTTACAAACATTCAATGGGAAAATGTTCTAAGGAATAAAAATCCTACACAAGGAATAGAAAAACTGACTTCTGAAGCATATGAAGTCTGTCTGAAACATGTTATGTTTCTTTGAGGAAAGCCAGAGAGAGGTCCAATGTAGAAAGAGAACGTAGAGGACATTACAAAAGAAGGAAGAAATTAATAAAAATGCTTAAGCAGACACGACTTTCCATACAAAGAAGGCATAATTTAAACAGGGAGATTGAAGAAATCGAACAGAGACTGAAGCAAGGCAACTAGAACAGAAAGCAATTAAAGAAATATGCTATATCAAAAGCAAAAACCACTGCCAGTATTGGACCTATTCGTACTAGTGAAAGTTCGTACATAGAGGATGACAAAGAAATTAGCGAAATCCTAAAAAAGCAGTATGAGGACATATTTAGCACTCTGATGCACAGCATGAAAGTGGAAGATCCAGACAACTTTTTTATGCGTGATATCCAAGCACCTGTACATATAACTGATATTAACACGAGCGTAGCAGATTTTGAAAGAGAAATTGCCAAATATGCTCATGCACTTAGCCCCGGGTCCAGACTCATGGAATTCAATATTTATAAAGAAATGCAAAGTGCCAATAGCACAGGCACTCAGTATAGTGTGGAGGAAGAGCTTGGACACGGGGGGAGATACCAGATGCACTTAAAGTAGCAGACATAACCCCTCTACACAAGGGAGGGAGTAAATCATTGGCAAAGAATTATAGACCGGTTGCACTAATGTCCCACATAATAAAAGTATTTGAGAGAGTGATTAGGAGTCAGGTCACTAGATTCATGGAAACCAATGACCTTCACAACCCAGGCCAACATGGATTTCGAGCGGGAAGATTGTGCCTCTCACAGCTACTTGAGCACTACGACAAAGCCACTGAGGAATTAGAGGAAAAACAGAATGCTGATGTGATATAGACGGACTTCGCAAAGGCTTTCGATAAATGTGACCATGGCATGATAGCACACAAAATGAAGTCAATGGGAATAACTGGTAAAGTAGAACGCTGGATACTCAGTTTTCTGTCAAACAGGACTCAGCGAGTAACGGTCAACCATATAAAATCTAGTCCAAGTGCAGTTAAAAGCTCTGTACCTCAGGGTACAGTCCTTGCACCGCTGCTTTTCCTTATTCTCATATCAGATACAGACAAAAATACAAGTCACAGCTTCGTATCATCCTTTGCAGATGACACAAAAATCAGTATGAAAATTACCGCTGCTAAAGACATTGAAAAACTTCAAGCTGATATTAATAATGTTTTCGACTGGGCATCAGAAAATAACATGATGTTTAACAGTGATAAATTCCAGGTACTCAGGTACAGTAAAAATGAGGACCTTAAACATAATACAGGGCATAAAACACAATCAAATGTACCCATAGTAGGAAAACAACATGTAAAGGATTTGGGAATAATGATGTCTGAAGACCTAACGTTTAGGGAGCATAACCAAGCAAATATTGCGTCAGCCAGAAAAATGTTAGGATGGATTACGAGAACTTTCAAATCCAGGGATCCCATCACAATGGCTGTACTCTTCAAGTCACTTGTGTTGTCCCATCTTGAGTACTGCTCAGTACTCACTTCCCCCTTCAGAGCAGGAGAGATTGCTGAAATAGAGGGAATACAGAGAACATATACGGCACGCATAGACGCGATAAAGCACCTAAATTATTGGGATCGTCTCAAAGCTCTCCAAATGTACTCACTAGAAAGGATACGAGAGAGATATAAAATAATATACACCTGGAAGATACTGGAGGGCCAAGTACCAAATCTGCACAGTAAAATAACAACATACTGGAGTGAATGATATAGAAGAAAATGCAGAATAGAACCAGTGAAGAGCAGAGGTGCCATAGGCACAATCAGAGAACACTGTATAAACATCAGAGGTCCACGGTTGTTCAACACCCTCCCAGCGAGCATAAGAAATATTGCCGGAACAACCGTGGACATCTTCAAGAGGAAACTAGATTTATTCCTCCAAGGAGTGCCGAACCAACCAGGCTGTGGTGGGTAAGTGGGCCTGCGGGCCGCTCCAAGCAACAGCCTAGTGGACCAAACTCTCACAAGTCAAGCCTGGCCTCGGGACGGGCTTGGGGAGTAGAAGAACTCCCAGAACCCCATCAACCAGGTAACCAGGTAATTAATTAATGCCTTACATTTAAGGATGTTAATGTACTGATCTTTAACATGCAAGATACAATCCACAACAGCATGGTTAATTATTAATTTTTCACTCACTTGCATCATCAGAGTCAAACTCAGGCCTCAAACCTATGTGACTGTTGGAAGGACAACAGTCTCGCACTTTTGAGCCCAAGTTTGAATCTTCGATGATCCAAGTGAAATGAACAAACTTCAACATTATGCAACAGATTTCAACCACAACAGAGGCAAATCTACGTTGGCATGCTGCTCAGTCTTCAGGATATATCTGAGAAAGCCACAGACTAAAAACTTTAAAAGGCCAAAGAAAGAATCACAAGACATGTGGCTGGTCTCCTCGACCACACTGTGGTGCCTAGACATGTGGCTGGTCTCCTCGACAACACTGTGGTGCCTAGACATGTGGCTGGTCTCCTCGACCACACTGTGGTGCCTAGACATGTGGCTGGTCTTCTTGACCACACTGTGGTGCCTAGACATGTGGCTGGTCTTCTTGACCACACTGTGGTGCCTAGACATGTGGCTGGTCTCCTCGACCACACTGTGGTGCCTAGACATGTGGCTGGTCTTCTCGACCACACTGTGGTGCCAAGACATGTGGCTGGTCTTCTCGACCACACTGTGGCTGGTCTTCTTGACCACACTGTGGTGCCTAGACATGTGGCTGGTCTTCTTGACCACACTGTGGTGCCTAGACATGTGGCTGGTCTTCTTGACCACACTGTGGTGCCTACACATGTGGCTGGTCTCCTCGACAACACTGTGGTGCCTAGACATGTGGCTGGTCTCCTCGACCACACTGTGGTGCCTAGACATGTGGCTGGTCTTCTTGACCACACTGTGGTGCCTAGACATGTGGCTGGTCTCCTCGACCACACTGTGGTGCCTAGACATGTGGCTGGTCTTCTCGACCACACTGTGGTGCCTAGACATGTGGCTGGTCTCCTCGACCACACTGTGGTGCCTAGACATGTGGCTGGTCTTCTTGACCACACTGTGGTGCCTAGACATGTGGCTGGTCTTCTCGACCACACTGTAGTGCCTAGACATGTGGCTGGTCTTCTCGACCACACTGTGGTGCCTAGACATGTGGCTGGTCTTCTCGACCACACTGTAGTGCCTAGACATGTGGCTGGTCTTCTCGACCACACTGTAGTGCCTAGACATGTGGCTGGTCTTCTCGACCACACTGTGGTGCCTACACATGTGGCTGGTCTTCTCGACCACACTGTAGTGCCTAGACATGTGGATGGTCTTCTTGACTACACTGTGGTGCCTAGACATGTGGCTGGTCTTCTTGACCACACTGTGGTGCCTAGACATGTGGCTGGTCTTCTTGACCACACTGTGGTGCCTAGACATGTGGCTGGTCTTCTCGACCACACTGTAGTGCCTAGACATGTGGCTGGTCTTCGACCACACTGTGGTGCCTACACATGTGGCTGGTCTTCTCGACCACACTGTAGTGCCTAGACATGTGGCTGGTCTTCTTGACCACACTGTGGTGCCTAGACATGTGGCTGGTCTTCTTGACCACACTGTGGTGCCTAGACATGTGGCTGGTCTTCTTGACCACACTGTGGTGCCAAGACATGTGGCTGGTCTTCTCGACCACACTGTGGTGCCTAGACATGTGGCTGGTCTTCTTGACCACACTGTGGTGCCAAGACATGTGGCTGGTCTTCTTGACCACACTGTGGTGCCAAGACAGCACGTACAACACAACCATACAAACCATTCCCAAAAGTAGCAGGTGGCACTTTACCTCCAAGAAAGATGGCTCCGGGGGCGTCCAACGGCTCTATACCTTGCACGTCTGTCGACTCTCTTCTACTCCAAAAGCCGTCGAGGCTGTCTTCATCGCCATCGCCATCCCCTGTACGCCCACTGTTGATAAAGGTACAACAATGTCACTGAAATTACACCTTTGAAATACAATTATCAACACCAAATTCAGATTTGTTATATACATTATTAGAAAATAAATTGTTGTTGTTGTGATGGTAAGTAAATAACAGAATATGTATGTGTACTGCATGTATTCACTGCATGTACAAGGAAATTGCACAAAATATTCTGAGCCCACCATTTGCTCTAAATGGAATAAAAACATTTGTTCTACTTGCCAACTTCAGGAACTATGATGCACTGTACCTTTAAGGGAGGAAAACAGGATGGTATTAACCTCCTGGCATCTCTATATATATATTTTGCTCATTTGGTTTAACGGATAAAGTAATGGTGTCAACTCCACCACCACAAACACAAAATAGTTCCTCAGGTAAAGACAACTTGAAGCCAAACGACAACTTGAAGCCACACGACAACCTGAAGCAACACGACAACCTGAAGCAACACGACAACTTGAAGCCACACGACAACCTGAAGCCACACGACAACCTGAAGCAACACGACAACCTGAAGCAACACGACAACTTGAAGCCACACGACAACCTGAAGCCACACGACAACTTGAAGCCACACGACAACCTGAAGCAACACGACAACCTGAAGCAACACGACAACCTGAAGCAACACGACAACCTGAAGCAACACGACAACCTGAAGCAACACGACAACCTGAAGCAACACGACAACCTGAAGCAACACGACAACCTGAAGCCACACGACAACCTGAAGCCACACGACAAGCTGAAGCCACACGACAACTTGAAGCCACACGACAACCTGAAGCCACACGACAACCTGAAGCAACACGACAACCTGAAGCAACACGACAACCTGAAGCCACACGACAACCTGAAGCAACACGACAACCTGAAGCAACACGACAACCTGAAGCCACACGACAACTTGAAGCCACACGACAACCTGAAGCAACACGACAACTTGAAGCCACACGACAACCTGAAGCAACACGACAACCTGAAGCAACACGACAACCTGAAGCCACACGACAACCTGAAGCAACACGACAACCTGAAGCAACACGACAACCTGAAGCAACACGACAACCTGAAGCAACACGACAACTTGAAGCCACACGACAACTTGAAGCCACACGACAACTTGAAGCCACACGACAACCTGAAGCAACACGACAACCTGAAGCCACACGACAACCTGAAGCCACACGACAACCTGAAGCCACACGACAACCTGAAGCCACACGACAACCTGAAGCCACACGACAACCTGAAGCCACACGACAACCTGAAGCCACACGACAACCTGAAGCCACACGACAACTTGAAGCCACACGACAACCTGAAGCCACACGACAACTTGAAGCCACACGACAACCTGAAGCAACACGACAACCTGAAGCCACACGACAACTTGAAGCCACACGACAACTTGAAGCCACACTACAATGACATGACAAATTGAAGCAACACAACAACACCTTGTAAAAGACAACTTCAGGTTTAATCTCTAGTACCATGTGAAGTTCACGTGGCTTGGCAAGTGAGCCAAATATGAATACTGACAATTGGAAGTAACAGATATGGTCGACATATTTCTTGATGGAGTAGCATAATTTGTACTAAGAGGTAGAGATTATGGGAGATATTTGGGCATACATAAGTAAAAGCAAGCAGCTACAGCTTAAAGCAAATTAAGTATCTCTCGGTAAACAAGGCAAACAAATAGGGGTAAATATTCTGATTGATGCACCTGACTGCCACCAGATGACAGCACAGGACTTGAGATTTCCAGTTTCTTCTTGAATGATATTCACAATCATCAGGGCTACAAACACTTCTCCAAGCAGTTGCTTGTTTTGTGGCACTTCATCTATGTAGTGGATACTTCCTCTTAGCATGGGTTGATCTTGCATCCCCAGACTCACTCTGGCTTATAAGGGCCTAGTGGCCGTTAGGAATTTGCTGCCACCGTGAAGTGATTTCGAGGTTTATATATTCATATGTATATATTTTACAGAAGGCCGAATAACTGCAAACAAGTCACAAAACAGTTTGGTGGGCAAACATTCACAAATGTCGTGTTGTCATTCGTCAGGAGAAAATGGTGTCTCCATCCTATTAATCAAAGACACTGTCTGTCCGATCCTCTCGTTCTATGTGCTGAGGGAGTGTGACATGGATTACAGTGATGGGTATATAACTTCAGATTTTGCCAGAAAAGGCAGTGAACATTTGTAACTACATGAACTGGAAATAGTTATGTAAATACCAACTACAAAGTGGGAAAAGTGATACTTTGTAAAGCAATTCTTTCAGTGTACATAAAGGACGTAAGTTGTTGTGGAGTACATATATAGTATACTGTATATTAAATTCATTCGCGGCAGTTTTTGCACATGCCTGTATATATTATTACATCCCCATAACCCTTAAAGTGGAGGCACTCTATCACCACTGAAAGTAGAGTAGTAAGAGGATATGCCAGGAGTTCATTCACTCTAGTAAGAACATCAGGGCCCAGCCAAATTGTAGAAGTGTCAAACATGACAACAGACTGGTTGTTTTCATAGCCCTGTAATAATCCTCAAGTCCATCAAAGGTGGTCACCCTCCCTCCAAAGAGGAGAGAGCTGGGGGATGGAGCCCCAGACCACCTCACACCGGCAACCCAAAACCCCAGTTCTGAGGCTGGATATCAAAACACGCAAAAAATCCCCCGACTGGGAGGGAGGGAGGGTTGCCAGGGAGCTTCCGGGTCTCACCCAGAAAATGGTGTTTCATTACATTCAATGCTGGTTTTCTGGGGCAAGCCCCATCGGCTCCCCAGAGCTACCTATCTAAAGATGAAAACAAGAGGGCTCTAACCCGGGAGGTGGAAGGCCCTCACTCCCCAAAACGAAGCGGAGACAAAAGACTACAACTGCCAACTCAAGGCCACACAGGCCAGACAAGGCCCAGGAACATCAACGAAGGAATGCATAACCAACCTACAAACGTCATGGGCACGGGGATAGACAGCAGCCTGGTTGGACCGAGCCACCCCCGCAGACGACCCGAAAGAACCGCACCCTGGAACAGGGAAGAAGGGAAACCGAAACAACCCACAGCGTGACCCTGGTCACAGCAGCCGTGGTACACAAAGAACGGCGAAGTGGCGCAACCGAACACAACACATGATGCACCCCCAGCCAGACCAACCAACATCAACAACCCAAGGACCCCTCCGGAAAGCAGCCGTTAGTCTTCGCTAAAAAAGAAGGAGACGGTTGCAAGCGAACAAACCTATCACAAGGACCAAAAGAGCCAAAAACCCTGGCGTTGGAGGAGAATGAAGCACCCCGACCCGACCCTCAGAGACCAACACCAACAAGAAAAAAAGAGCCTCTGAAAACAATCCAGAATCAAAGGGGCCAAAACAAACTGAGGAGAAGAAAAGAGAGCACCCAATCCAAGAAGCAGGATGGCTCAAGTGGCACAAGATCAGGCTGGGGGTGAACCACGCCAGAGGCAGCTCGGGAATTGGTGCAGAGTGAACACCAAAACCGAAGCAACCCGGAGCAGCTCCGCCAACGCCGCATGAGACAAGGCGACAGTATGTGGTAAGATGATGGCCCTGAACCTCCACAAGAGAAGGACAAGACCATGCCAACAAAACACAGCAAACCTACGAAGGGACAAAAAGAAAAAAGGGAGGACCGCTAAAAAACCCCACACCGCCACCGAGACGAAGCACGCAGGTGGGACACCATTAACGAAGCCACCTGAACACCAACAAATGGCGAGAGACTTGAGGCAGAACTGAACCAGCCCCGCCATGGACCGATCGAGCATAGGAAGAGGCGGAGCCGCGGGAAAACCTCGGGTGCGAACTCCGAGCAAGCTGAGCCAGAAACCCAAGGCAGCAAGGAACCAGATGGAATATCTGCCGTACAGAAAACTTCCCAATGCTAGCGAGCTCGCCAGGAGATCGAGACACTGTGGTTCCGATGTGAGACTCTTAAGAAGTGACACTGCGATATCAGGAAAATGCAAACTGGCAGGGTAAACCAGGAACACAAACCTGACAAGCCAGGAGAGAACCAACTAGGGCGAACAGAAAAGCCCCATCCGGGAAGAAACCCCCAGGACCCCGGAAGGACCAACAAGTCCGGCAACGGATGACAATTAGAAGCTGCAAGCAGAAAAACGCCGAAACGCAGACACCGCAAACAGCAAGGACAAAATTGCGACGAAAAAACAAAGAGCCAGGATCCAGGCCGAGGCCAAAGATGAAGCGAGCATCGTGAGCCGAAATGCAAAGCGAAAAGCAGGGACACCACATCCCACAAGAGCGGTGAACGCAGCCCCAGCAAGGCAGAAGAAAGCACGCAATACCAAGTAAGGTATGAGGAGAACAAACCAGGATGTGAACAGCACGAAAACAAACATGCACCACCCAAAAAGGAAGAAAAAGGCCGGAGCCAGGGCCTGAAACCTAGCACCTGGCGGCCCAACGAAAAGAAACTGAAGGGGCAGGAGAGGAAGAACAGAAGTTACATCCACCAGCATACAGGGCAACCCAGAAGCTGGAAGTGCCAAATAAGGAGAAGATGAAAACACAGGACCATAACTGAACACAGGGGTGGTACAAAAGTAGGGAACTGAACATAGACAAAGTCCAACCTAGCGTTAGTAGAGCCAAGAAGAACATACTAAAGCACACAACAATGTGTAGGAGAGGAGAAAAAATGGAAAAATGCAAGAAAAAGACCAGAAAGACAGTCCAAGAACCAGCAGCTACGGACAAGAGGCCGCCAGCAGAGCCCAGTAGGCTCAGGAATCTGTACACCGGTTCATTGACAGTTGAGAGGCGAGACCAAAGAGCCAGAGCTCAACCCCCGCAAACACAACTAGGTGAGTACAAAAGTGTAGAAGGAAGATGAGGAACGAAGAAGACAGGCAGCAATCGGGAACGAAAGGGACATGACCTACTACACACACAGAATCCAATGTACATGAAAGGGCTCAGCCAGGCACTGCACGACGGTCAAGGAATGAGTGTCCAAGATTAGACCTCGAGAGACGGGGCCCTCGAAAGACGGGGCCGAGCCCCACCGTGTAAAAAATAACACAGACGAACAAGGAAGGCCACAGGAAGAAGCACGCAATGGGACAAACAAAATGCCACTACTAGTCCCCAACACTCATCCAAAAACCATGAACCAGCACCTGGCCGAAAGAGAAGCCCGACCGCATAAACTCATCTGCAGAGTGTAGGCACTAACGTGTCACGACACATCTGAACCGAGAATATTCCGGGAGCACCGTTAGTGGAAAAAGGCCAGAGCCGCACGTGCAGGAGAAGAGTAGGGTAGAGGCGAATGCAGTGCCCCACACCCGCATGCTTAGAAAAACTATGCGTCCACCTCATATCGGTAATCTAGAACACCCCCCCAGTATCTACGGGGCTCGGACTGGAGAGATAAGAGCAGCGAGACAGGCGAAGCACCTGAGAGAAAAAGGATGCGGAACACCATCACCTGTGTATACTGTCCATAAACAAAAACGACAACCTCGTATCCTCGTATGGGCCAATAGGCCTTCTGCAGTTTCCTCTATTTTCATGTTCAACTGCTCTTAGGGAGGTCATTGCACCACACAATCCTACCCACCACAAATGTTCCAAACAGGTGCTAGAGAATAGTTAACAAACCCACCAATATATCTGAAAATGAAAGCTCACCAGAATCTGGCAATTACAATCACTTCAACGTAATTAACTAATACTTTTATTTCTATGAAATAGTGACAAAATTAAGGATTAGGACTTCAACATCACAAAATATAGGCACATCATTTAAATTAAATAAACCTCCCCCCCCTCCACACATGAAAAGAAAGTAACAATATTTGGTTATTTATTTTCAGCCCCATTATCATGACTCTCAGCACCAGTTATGTTAATAGAGTAAATCCATAAAGCCAATGCTATATATTAAACATACAATACTTAACAACTACTGTAGCTGTTAACAGATACCAAGTTCAATCGTCTAGAAGGAGATTAATCAACTTTGAGATGCAACTCAGGCAGCCAGAAGTGACCGACTGTAGATTTTGAACCTTGCAAATGATATACGTTATCAAGTGGTGGTACACAACACGAACACTTTACTACAAGCTCCAACTACATCTGTCTACAACACCGATCATTGTTAAGCCCACACTGGCATCTATTAGCATACTATACATCATTAAGCCCACACTGGCATCTATTAGCATACTATATCATTAAGCCCACGCAGCCATTTACCGAAAATAGTTATCAAAGAAGCTGGATGTTGGCATACTGGTGCTGCAGCTGAAACAAATTTGCATACTTTTAAGAACATTAACAGGTGTTTCTTCTAGAATATATACAGTAATACAGAATTCAGATTACACTTAAAAACAAAATGTTTTTACACTAACACATTATGATAGAACACACAGCAATTATACAAATGTTGTTGTCCTGTATATGCAAGAAACACCTTCATTTTTAACAATTCCAAAAGCACCTCTGCCCTGGTGCTACTGCATCGTCCAGTGTTCAAACCAACATTGCCCTCATAACCTGCTTTTCCAAACACCATTTGGAAACGGTGTGGAAACAAAAGAAAACTACTTTTTTTATATTACCGATTTTGGCAAGAGCAATATTGCCGATATTTGCTAGAAATAAACTGAAGGCCTTAAATCTTTGATGCTAATGCTATGTTCTTGATAAGCTAAGCTAACCTAACACCCTTTACCTAATCTCTTACTCCAGCAAACTCTCATTTTTTAATATATATTAAAACTCTGACTATTAAATATTTTTTTTTTTTGAAAAGTGATATACTGTACCTTTCTTTTTTACAGTGTTTCAAATTATAAGGGTTAAGTGCTGAAAAGTCTATACCGCAGTAGAGGTCTTCTTGACGTTAATACTTTTCCCCCGCAATACACAGAATACATTTTTTTCTTCGCAATATACATAATACATATAGATTAAAAGTTAGCTTTCATAAATACAAGTTACTGTAGCTGTCAAAATAGGGAAAATAAATCTTTTGTTTCATGAGTAATTTTGATTAATTTTTGTTTTCATTCAAATTATTTGTAGACAGCAGACACACAAAGGTGATAGAGCCTTACCTGTACATGCCCCCTCTCACGGGGGTGTTGGTGGCGGTCATAGCCTCACGAATTTCATTATATTTCTTGGAGAGTGACGTTACTGCCGACTTCACACTACTGAGGCCGCCAGATATCAGTTCATTCTTCCGGTAATTGAAGTTACTAGGGCTGAAATATTTCAAGCAATGTTAGGGCACCAAGCTCTGATCAATTACTAATTGATGTAGAAGGGCTTTACAATTTACTATAGAAAGCTACTAGGCTGAAACAAACTTCTACCATTAATATTATATTCTTGCTTCAGGTAAATTTCATGTAAGTCTGGAGCAGTACTCGTCACTGAAGCACCATACAGCAAAGTTGCACCATGTGACATAGCTGACCGACTGAAAGAAAAATCTAAAACCTATATATTGGACAGTATTTCTTGCACTAAAGTATAATACTGTACAGTATTATTATTATTATTATTATTATTATTATTTCACACAGAAAATCACACTAACATGATATACATCAATGAGAAAATCCACCGGGGCTGCGAGGCGACGCGAACCTGCGACCAAGGCGGTGCCAGCCGCACTCTACCACTGTACCATCGCTGACTTGTTAAAGTCTTACAACACGATTTCTACTGAAATCACACAAAGTCTGGAGGCCCCTCCTAAAGCCAGTCCAAGTTTTACACAAGGCCCCCAAGCACTGGGTTGAAAGGTAAAGTAAAGTAGTCTGCCCTTCAACCAAGGCGTTGTCAGCCTTGGTTGCTGGTTAGTGTCACCTCACAGACCCAGTGGATTTTCTCATTATTATTATTATTATTATTATTATTATATTCTTGCTATTTTATAGCATTGGACCTGAGACCCAACACCTAAGGAACATCAACTTGAAGGGATTTGCTGATTGAATCAAGTGCACATTTTCTGATATTATAGTACTAACAACTTCACAATGTCCAAATTTTTATTGTAGCAAACAGTTTAGTTTTACTATTATCATTAATTATTATTATTATGGTTTTAATAATGATAGAATCTGAGCGTGAGGTCCAGTGATGGAATCTAGAGCCCAACAAAATTTTATGAAGCTTTCGGATTCTTATGCACCAAGGAAGATTCCATTTTATGAAGCTGTCCAATTATTGTACAGTACATCTAGAAAGTTTTAACTAAATACCTCATCATGAAACTAAACCCTTTATCCCATTACTCTAATTCAAACGCCTCTAGCGATCATCACACTCGTAACCGTAAAATGTAAGGACTTTATTATCTTTTATTAAATTTCATTCATTACTGTGATACAATACTGTTAAAAAAAAAATCTAAATGACATTCAAAATCTAAAATCGGTTAAACAAAAAAACTGCCTTCTCTTATCAGCAACATAATAACGAGAGGCAGAGAATAACAAAACGTCTCCAGCCCCCAGACAAGTTTTGACACAAGGGCGATGAGATGCGCTATGATATTATGATCAACATAAATACACCTGGTGCAGATGTTGACACCCAAGCATTACTCACCACGTTCAGTTGTGCTAGCCCAGAAGACAATGTCCACCCAATGACAACATTCCTAAACAAGTAACACACCTAACATAACTGCACACTTATTTTTAAGCTATGCTTGAAACACTTTGGATATTAGTGGCCTTGTAACAGGGGGTCGAGGGAAACAGCTCTCTCTCGTCCATTATCCCGCCACCAGTATGCTAACGGGGACAGGGTACACAGCTCTCTTTTGTCCATTATCCCGCCCCTAGTTAACTAATCTATAGTTACCCCAGAGCTACCACTGCAACCTCCCTAGTTCAACACCTTGTAACCTAGGTATCTGATTACCTAGGTATCTACTTCTACTTATCTACCCTTCTTCCTCTACCACTACCTCCTACTCATTCCCTACTCCCTTCTCTTCGTCTGCCTCTCTCTCACTCTCCCTTTTCACCTGACCACACTCCTCCCTCCTAGTCCTCCCTCCTCTCTTACCCCAAACCCTCACTCATTACTTCATTATTCATTTGTTTCCCTTTGTTTCTTTTATGCATTCATAGGCAGTGAAATGTTCTAGAGTTCTCTAGAGTTTGCTGGTAGCTGATCAAGTTATGGCACCTTGTAGTCATGGATACCTAGGTAATCAAATACCTAGGTTACAAGGTGTTGAACTAGAGAGGTTGCAGTGGTAGCCCTGGGGTAACTATAGATTAGTTAACTAGGGACGGGATAATGGACAAAAGAGAGCTGTGTACCCTGTCCTCATTAGCATAACTGGTGGCAGGATAATGGACGAGAGAGCGCTGTTTCCCTCGACCCCCCCAGTTACAGCCTTATTAATAATGCATACTTTGACAATTAGGAAACCACTGTATCATTCTTCTGTATTTTTCAATAATTATTATTATGTATTATTATTAATGCACAAAGAAATCACATTAACAGGATGTATCAATGAAGGGAAGGAAATTACCAGAAGAGGGAAGGAGAGAATTATCAGGGCCAAGCCATTATGACTATATAGCACTTGGAAGGGATCAGGATAAAGATTTGAAATGGGATGGGGTAGAGGAATGGTGCCCAACCATTGGACGGTCAGAGACTGAACGCCAACCTGCATGAAGTGAGACTGTTGCTCTACCGTCCACCCCAAGTCCCCCCCTTTCCATCAGAAGAGAAAATCATTTATTTTCTCAATGATACATTATGATAATGCAATTTCTTTATACATTTGAAATGCATAAAGTTTACTATTTATGCATAGTGGAAGCCTCAAGACTCCAAGAGGATTCAGTTTTTTGTTTTTATTTTTTGTTTTTTTCAGGGATATTCCTGCACGGGCCCTAAGCCTCTGGCTGGCCCACTAAGTGTTGCTTGTTTCTGTTTTACTTGGGCGGAGTGCGAGTAGTTATGACTCGTATGGTCGCTTCAGTAAGATTTTGTCCCATGTGTTTAACAACAACAACTGCTCTGTTCAATTTAAAGTAAAATCTTAATGGGTTTGTAACTATGCACTGTATTAGGTAATGTTCCAGTGGTCTGTCTGGCATTTCCCCACAGTGCCGACATTTCCTCTCATCTTCCAGAACCTGTAAGCCCATTTCCCATGCACATGGGTATCCAAGCCTGATGCGATATAAGTGTACTTCTGTTGTTCTACTGCTCCCTTTCATCAAACAAGTGGTTTGTAGTTGGTTGAATTCTTGTACCAACCTGCAGATCCTGATGTTCCAACTGCTGAGGATTCAATTGAATCCCAGGTTGCATTACTTTTGAGTCATATAGTGTTTCAGAGGTTTAAGGCATTGTGCTTGGGAACACCTAGTGTGTGCAGGTTCAAATTCTCAAGGCTCCTACTGATTTTATCATTATTATTATTACAGTATTATTATTAGTATTAGTATTATACTGTACAATGGTACCTGCATGATTCACCGTGGAAACAACGAATACTGTTTTAGCTGATAAATGGATAATGGCATGAATGGAGAGAAAATGATTGTGCAATGTTAGAGGCATGATCTAATAATAGCTACTACCAACTAACAAGTCACTTGCATTCTTAATACCAAGACCTTTATTACACCTTGCTAACCAAAAGTCAATGCCGAGGCCAACTATAAATAATAACTAATATTTATACGTCTTTGATAGTTTTCCATGTAAGCACTACAATGAATTTCCTAACTTACTGTGGAAGAAAAATCCGATTTTGAAAAAATTATTTTCTTGCGAGTTACCTGACGAATTCGTATTTGAGTGACGGCTCTAGTATTTTACGCTTGCATTCCATTAGAATACGACTAGCTCTAACCTCTCGGACAATTACACACACTTACCTGTGCTAACATTTTCCCCGCAACATTTTGCAATCATGCCTGGAAGTAATTATTGCATCTAGTGCCATGGCAATAGCAAATGCACCGAGAAATACGGTTCAACATGTGTATTCAAGACACAAAATACCAGTCCTATTTCAAATTCAGCTTATTAGGCAAATCACTTTTGAGAAACTAGAAAAGCAAAACAAAATTAAAGGCTTATTGAGCACGTGCAAAATATGGTAATCTAGAGTGTATGAGAGAAAGCAAGGGGGAACCTGCAGAGATGTTGTCTACCAGATCCTGGCAAACACTCCTCCAAATCTATATCACTGAAAAATTGAGAGAACACACCAATAATGACAGAATGCATCAATGGCAACAGAGAATGCATCAGTAATGCCATCCTTTCCATTAACAACATTGACAAGAGCCAACACTATTATTCCACAACATAATGGCTAATATTCTACATTCTAGTACCTGTATGTCTCTCACATGCTCATCTCTTCCCCTTTCCCACCAAGATGTAGGGACCTCCCCTCCTTTAAGTCAAATTTGCTTAACTTTTGCTGTCTATGCTAGTTCTTTCCCATAAATTATCCTGATCTTTAAATATCCTTTGCTTTTAATGAACAGGGAGGTTTCCTAAACAATGCAATCTAATACCATAGATTGACAACATTGAATCCTTACAGTATAGCCACTACACCCATACATCAAAATGTCACCATAATAATAATCTGTTCTCCAAACCCAAGAATGAACCCCCTGCCCAACATGCAGGCCAACTCCTACCCCTCCATAACCATCTTGTTAAAATATCCACTCGGGCAACATAATTTCCCTTATATTCCTTCATCATTTCAGTAATTATATTGTTCCTGTCAATACACACACACTGTATCACCTATCTTACCTTCTCCATCCATGCCTGTTACTAATATATATTGGACTTACCTGTTACTTTGACATTGCACAAAAACTTTATTCTAAGTATCTGGAGATTCATAGTAACAAACTAAAATGGATTGTGAATATACATAACAAGCTTAATTCAGTAGAGGTTCAAAAATAATCTCCATGTAAGCATTGTATTGAAAGCTTGAGAGTTGGTCATGAAACTGCTATTTCAGTACTGAATGTGAAAATGTATTGTCCACCCACCAATACAGTATATAGGACTGGCTGTGCTTCCATTTATGGTATTGGTTGTAAACTTACCTGTATTGGCCCAGATCGGCCATGGCCGGGTGAATGTACTGAGTTCGTAGCTGCTCTATTTGCTTAGTGGCTTGCCGTAGACCCACGGAGGCCATGTTGGAAGCCAGGCCGAGACGACTGCTACTGTTACTGTAACACCACATGCTATACATATGACTAACACAACAATGACTACACATCACATTGGGTTATCCTCACCATTACAGGCTCTACAACCACGTGATTCTCACTGACAACTACTCATTTATATCCAGGCTATCTTCACCCTCTAATGTCAAGCAACTTTATCCAACTGACTGCTATTTGTATTAAGAAAAAATAAATAAATTAGGAGACCACTTTACTTTTAATTACACTTATAGTTAATGAACATCTTGAAGATTCATGTTTCTTATCTTTCTGTTAAAAATTACATACTGTTTATTAAAATATATTAAAATTTATTACTGATCAGTGATTAATGGGGAGTGAGATCTAGCTCTTCATGCTCTGCATCCTAGTCATTTATACCTGGGGTCCCATTATCTCTGTCAACATGCTTTCATCACATTTCTTCTTAATGTTGTGGATGGAACAGTATTTAACCATAGAATGCCATATATATATTTGTCTGTTGTTACATTTTTATTGTTTTCTGTGGTAACTGCCCATACTTACTTGCAAAAACAAATTGGCTTTGCATGTACTGTATTCACCTATTTGTGCTTGCGGGGGTTAAGCTCTGCTCTTTCGGCCCACCTCTCAACTGTCACTCAACTGATACTAACTACTATTTTTTTCCCCCCCTCCACACACACACACACCCAGGAAGCATCCCATAGCAGCTGTCCAACTCCCAGGTACCTATTTATTGCTAGGTAACAGGGTCATCAGGGTTAAAGGAAACTCTGCCCATCTGTCTCTGCTGGGTGCGGGGATCGAACCCAGGTTCCTAGGTCCACGAGTCTAGAGCGCTGTCCACTTGGCCACCCAGTTTCATGTGTGTTTCATTAAGCTCAGTGTAATGTGCTAGCATCACTTATGTCTTAACTATACCTACTAGTGTCACTGTCATGTCACAGTAACTATACTCACTAGTGTGTACTAAGAAAATTTATCTTAGCATGTGTAGCAGATTGCTGCTATGTCCTACGTGAATTTATCCAAACATTACACTCTTCCTAAGCAAAAATCCAGCGTTGAATGTAATGAAATGCCTCTTTCTGGTAGAGCCCCGGTGGCTTCTTGAACCTTAAGCTTTCTTACTGAGATTATTCCATGCTAAAGGGTCACATCAGTCACAGACACACTTTCCGGCCTACTGGGGACCAGAGCCAGAACCTGGCCCCTTCACAAACATGCAGGGAGAGCGTGACAATTTGCCACCCCACCAGGAGAGCATCCAGGAAGTCAGCAAGGCTTTACACAGAACTTGAAGGGTTCACAGAAAACAAAACCTCAAAATTGCCAAACATCTCTGTAAATGATTCACAGAGTAAAGGGATTCACTCAAACTAGCACAAAACTCATTAGTACTGCTTGCCACCACCAGGTGGCCTGGTCCCTGCCCTCAGCCAGATTCCCATCTCTGTTCTGGAGCTGATAAACAACTCGCCAACAAACCGAGGAGGGAGGGAGGAAATAGAGGAACCACCAGAGCTCTAGCAGAAAGAGAAGTTTTATTACCTTCAATACTAGAATTCTGGGAGACCCTTCCCCTGATGGCTTTCTGAAGCTAACCAGAAAATGAGACCAGAATGAGATTTACCAGGGAGGATGAAACAGGCACTAGGACAAAGAAGAGACCCCAAGGTGGGAGATACACCCAAAAGCAACACAAAACACAAAACTGTGAATGAGTGGTCGATGGTTCAGTCCGTGGAATTAAGACGAAAGCGAGTTACCCCGTGTGCAAGAACATTGAACAATCCCCACATGTGAACTGCAAGGAGAATCAAACCCCCAAAATCCAAAAGCTGAGTTACCCAAAGTGTTTAGCTCTACAGGGTAATGGACTATAGCTACTCTTCACCCCCTCCCTCCTTGGTTCAGGCAATGAACCCTGGAAAGCAGTCAAAGTGGAGCTAGAGCATGGAGGAAGCCAAATCATCTACAGCACATGCCACACAGCTGCAAGCTCGTGCACTGTACTGTATACCCGAAGGAACAGCCCCAACCACTGACCCTGGGTGTCCTGGTAGGTATTGGTCACAAAACCTCAAACCAGAGCCGTGGCATCTGTGAACACATCGAGCAATGATGAAGGATGGCACCATGGAACTAAAGCTTGAAATACACAATGCGGAAGCTGGCGAAGCAAAAACAAATGTAGGGTGCACGGGGCCCAAACTCACTGGTCCCAGGAGCGGCAAAACAAGTGGAATTGGAAAAACTGGAACAATGCCAAGAGTCAAACCTTGGCCAGCAGGCAAAGTACAGGATAATCTACTCCTAACCAGTGAGTCACTTGGGGCCAATCCAATACCCAATGATGAGAAGCTGACACATGGACTGACCAAGAGGCCCAAATCAACCAATCATTGAGGTAGGCCAACCCACAAACACCCAAAGGATGGAGCTGGACCACTACAATCCACTCCAATCTAGTACACACACGAGGGTGGGTGGGGGGACAGGTTAAAGCCACAGGGAAGAACCCTGAAGCAGTAAGCCTGATGCCCAACAATGAAATCTAGCCAGTTCCCAAATCTGGGATGTAAAGGGACATACCAATATACATTCCCTGAGGTTTGTGGACACCAAGCTCCAGGCTGTATTAGCAGATCATGCAGAAGGTCAGACAGGGAATTAAGCTGTTTGATCTCGAAAGAATGAAGATGATAAGGCCAGGTCCCTGATAAGTCAAACACAAAGTTCATGACTGATGTGACCCTTTAGCATGGGACAGTCTCAGCAAGGCAGCTTCAGGTTAAGGGAGCCACTCTAGGGCTCCTCCAGAAAAACCTATCAACTCTCACATTATTACAAATGTTCATTAGGGTATGATCATTTGACATCCACAATTAATTAACTATTAATACACATTTGTTGTACTCGTACACAAATGTAAATCAAAATACTGTACATTTCAATACACCTAATATTCCTCTCATTCACTCTTGCATCATCTCTAACAACACGTGTACGTGCTTCTCCATACACCTCCAGTGACAGACAACATACACCTCCACACCTCCACACACGCTAAAACTCCAGCGCTGAATATAATGAAACTCCTCCTGCTGCTGGTGGGCCTCCTCAGGGGCTCCCTCAGCTACCATAGGGGGGACCTTCCCACAAACTTCTCTTTGCCTTCTATTGCACAACCGATTTATTTTAACAATTAGGTAGGTAATTTTTGGTCAAAACGAATAGTTTACAAACAAAATGAAAGAAAAAAAAAGAGAGAAATTTGGACTTAAGCTGGCGCATATGTTGCCTCCACAAGCTTATTCCTTGCTAAGCACGTCTCCTGAGCAGCTCGTACATTGTGTGAAGATAGCCATAAGTCTACTCTAGGGTGTATCCAACCACAACAAGATAATTAAGCATGCATCAGTGAGTATTATCTAAAATATGACATCTAGTGGCTTATGTGCTTCAAATTAATAAACAATTAAATAAATACTTATACAGCAAACACAGTAACTGAAAAAGGACAAAAATAATAATGATAAATAAAATGACTATTGTCAAAATTGTATAGACTGTAGTGATCGATGAGGTTTAAAATTAGCTCTTGTTAATTTGACATCTCGTATTCTTCTACCAAGACAAATGTGCTGTTCAACTTGCAAAAATTATTACACATGTCAAGTATGTTTAGAAAGAGCATTGACTATTGCAAAAAAAATGCACAATTATAATCACTGCATTTTATTATTCGTTAGGAAGAGCCTTAACTGTTTAAGCCAAAAATACACTATACCGTATAAGATGGGCAAGAGTTGGAGTAAAGTACAAGACACGCAAGCATGGAGCTGCAATGAACTACGGAAAATGATTTAAGAAATCCTGTGCCATGTCAATGGATGCTATCAATTTCTCGCTTCTATCTGTTACTTGTATTGTGTCTGACCTACAACAACTTAATGGAAAGTAAAAATATCATGAGCTTCCTGATTTTCTAACAAAAATATATAAAGAATAATAATAATAATGAATTTTAGTTCCAATCATGACAATTGCCATCTTTGCCAAATTAAAACGTGTAATCCTTGTTTACAAAGACTTTACAGTGATTGATTACATTTACTAAAAGCGCGCACACTGCGGCAATAAGCACCGAATTCTTAAATCATTTTTCGCTAATGTTGTTGCCGAGTGAGTCGGGTCAGTCTAGTTATGGAGTGCTGAAGATCCATTAGTTCATACACCATTCCAGGAAGAATAAGTTACTAGGAGTTAAAAATGATTTCGGTTAAGACATATGTTACCTGAAGGAGAGTTTAAGGGATGGCCAAGTGGGCGTTGAAGCCACCAGAGCCGAGTGGGCAGGGTCATCGGGATCTGCACGCTCAGAGGAATGTGCACGGGTTGGGTGAGAAGTTTTGGAGGTGTTGGTTGGACTAGGTGTGGAAGACAGTGCCCAGAGTGAATTTGATGATCGTTGTACAACACGTTGCTTCGTTGTGTCCTGGCCGCTACGGCCAGTGAATGTGGCACTGCGTGAAACTCTACGAGACACTCGACGGTGATGGCTACCGTGACCAGAGTTGAGAGAGGACATCTCCGATTCATCACTTGTGGCACTGTGCCTCAAAGGTGAATCATGGGTACTAGAGGGTGGGCCTTCTCCAGATGCCGAGTCATTGTTCTCACTTCCCTGAAATGTGCTAAATGCTCCAAGTGGATCATTTTCGGTGATAGGAGTACGCTTAGGACTAGATGGTATGGGAGAATAATTGGAAGATCTGTCGATATTAATATTAGGAGATCGTTGAGGAAGAAGCAACACATTACTCTTAACTTGTGTGCCGTCCACATCACTCGCCTTCGGGGGTTCCAGAGTCTTTTCCTCACTGCTTCTATCTGCACTACTTTTACTCTCATAACTCTTGCTAACAGAGTCTTCCCTGATGCCATCAATATACTCTGTGACACCCTGTTCCAAGTTAACCGAGTCTTTACTGCTGGACCGGCTCACACTACCACTTCTTCTCCAGAATCCACGAATCTTTTCATCAGCACTGTCCACACTTCGCTTGAACAGACTAGATAACCTCTCTGGGGCATTTCGGGAAAAAAATCCCTGCACTAAGCCAGCTCTTGGCCCAGCTTCTTCCTCAGAAATATCACTCAGACTATCATTACTGTGAGACAGAGGATCTACATCGCCTCCATCATTGTGAAATGAAGAATCTTGGTCTAACGCTTCAGTGGAACACTTATTAATTTCGCTCTGTGGAGTGTTGCTGCTGGCTCGAAATTGGCCAACTTGAGTTAGTGGCTCAATCTCAACCTTAGCCAGACGCAGAAGATTGGTAATTATCTTAGCATCACTGCCGTAGCTGTCGGATCTGAAGGGGAAGGCAGCGGTTTCAACACCTGGTTGGTGGGTTGGCAAAACCAACAGTCACAACATTTCACTCCAATAACATACTTGCCATCTAAGCTTTTATGAAGCTTTGAAATTATGAAGACAACAGTCTGATTAATTTGATGCTTTAGAAATTGGAACTGTTAATATCAAATGATCAGCAAGCAATATAGGTATGCCATAATCAATGGGTATTTCATACAAGCTTCACTTTAGCAGCATGTTCCTGAAGACCATTCTACATTAAATGTCTGATGTGCATTAAGGGTAAGAACAATGGTACTATACGGTACTCAAAAGGCTGTTACCATGAGCCACCTCGTGTGGGTAATGAATCAAGACAGACAACATGTGCCTTACAAAATGACTACTGCACTTCATTGTTTTGTTGTTTTACAAAAGTGTGCTTGAAAAAAGCACACGCTGGGTGGCTGACATTTAATATATAATACACAGTATGTAAAAAAAATGTTTTAATCATTCCCATTTTTTTTTTTTACAATTTCAGGAAATGGCTTATATGGAATAAGGTAGCGAGTCACAACTTGTGTGTTGCACTTATCTTCAAGCTAAGCTACTAAATATAACAATCCACCTGTTAGCTTACATGACACTTCTGGTCCTCTTAAAACAAAGGTTGTGTGCAAAACGTCCACATTCACGTTAATATTGCAAAGGTAGGCACTGTCTATTGTACATTCCAGACTAGTATTCATTATTTCACAACCACTTGTCACCAACACCTATAGACTCCAGTCTTGCATGGGATGAACAGCCTGTTAACAACATTGCTGGGACAAGCTATATGGAATATTTCATATTTGAATTCCAGCTCTAATGAGTTCATTAAAATGCAAAATAAAAAAATCAGCGTTGAATGTAATGAAACGCCATTTTCTGGGTGAGACCATGGAGGCTCCCGGAGCTTATCCAGGTTGATATGCTAATGTCAGACTTTGGCATCAGTCATGTATATGGAGTTCTGTGGGCCTACCAAGGACCATAAGCCAGAACCTGGCCCCCCTCATAGAGGCATGGGGAGCAATGGGCTATAGAAACTCCCATGTGGTTGGAAGCATTCTATGTCTGCCATTGACTGGATCAGGACCCCAGAAAGGTAAGCGTCCCAAAACAAACCCCTATTCTGGTGAAAATTGCTGCCAAAGGCCGAAGACGTGGCTAGAACTCCCCCAAAACAAACAAGCAAACGAGCATGATGTCGCATGACGTCACACGTCACCGCTGTCTGCGCAGCTCCCCCCTCCCCGGGAGGGGAAAGGGGAGCCCCAGACCCTCGCGCTGGCTATCAACCCTTCAGTTCTGAGGTTTGGATGTCAAAAGGCAAAAAAAAAAAAAAAATGCCGACTGGAGGGAGGGAGGAATGTTGGGGAGCTTCCGGGTCTCACCCAGAAAATGGCGTTTCATTACATTCAACGCTGGTTTTCTGGGGGGAGCCCCGTCGGCTCCCCAGAGCTACCTACCCAAAGATGAAAACAAGAGGGACCTAATTCGGGAGGCGGAAGACACACACCCCTAACGCGAAGCGGAGACAAAAACTTCAACCCCCAACCCAAGGCCACATAGGCCCGACAAGGCCCAGGAACATCAACGAAGGAATGCAGAGTCAACCAATGAACGACATGGGCACGGGGACAGACAGCAGGCTGGCAGGACGGAACCGCCCCACGGACGACCCAAGAGAACCACACCCCAGAACAGGGAAGAGGGGAACTCTGAACAACCCAAAGCGCAACCCTGGTCACGGCAGCCACGGTACGCAATGCACGGCACAGTGCCGCAACCGAACACAAGACACGACGCATCCCGGCCAGACCAACCAAGCATCAAACAACCCAAGGACCCCTCCAGAAAGCCGCCGTGCCAATCTTCGCCAGAGAAGAAGGAGACAGCCACAAGCGAACAAACCTATCAGGGAGAACCAAAAGAGCCAAAACCCAGGCACCGGAGGAGGGCAGGAAGCACTCCAACCTCACCCCCAGAGGCCAACTCCAACAAAAAAAAAGAGAGTCTTGGAAAACAACTCGGAACCGAAGAGGCCACCACAAACTGAGGAGAAGAGAAAACAGCACGTAATCCAAGAACCAGGACGGCTCAAGCGGCGCAAGAGTAGGGCGGAGGTGAAGTAGGCCGGCTCGCGAAGCGGTGCAGAGGCAACTTCCAAAACTGAAGAAACCCGGAGCGGCTCTGCCAACGCTGCACGAGACAAGGCAACAGTATGTGGCAAGACGACGGTCCCAAACCTCCACACAAGAGAAAGACCAGACCATGCCAAGAAAACATAGCAAACCGACAAAGGGACAGAAAGAAAAAGGAAGGACTGCCAAAGAAAACCCCACACCGCCGCCAAGATGAAGCCCGCAGGTGGGACACCATGAATGAAGCCACCTGACCACCAACAGACGGTGAGATACTCAAGGCAAAACTGTACCAGCCCCGCCATGGACCGATCGAGCAGAGGAAAAGGCGGAGCCGCGGGAAAACCTCGGGTGCGACCACCGAGCAAGCAGAGCCGGAACCCAAGCCGGCAAGGAATGAGAAGGAACGTCTGCCATTCAGAAACTTCTCAATGCCAGCGAGCTCGCAAGGAGATCAGAGACACTGTGGTCCCGATGTGAAACTCGTGAAAAGTGACAACGTAAGATTCGGAAAATGCCAACTAGCAGGGTAAGCCAGGAAACCAAACACCCAAACCTGGCAAGCCGGGAATTAACCAAATATAGAGGCAGCGCAAAAAACAGGGAACTGAACAATTAGAAAGTCCAATCTAGTTCCCTACTCAGAGAGAATCCCAGCAACATCCGAGGCCCAAGACTGTTCAACACGCCACCACGACACACAAGGGGCAAAACAGGCTGACCCTTCAGAGTGACCAAGAAAGAACTGGATCAACACCTCCAACGGATATCTGAACAACCAGGCTGTAAGTAATACATCAGGCTGGCGCAGCCACGTCAAACAGAATGGGCGACCAATCCATCAACGAGGAGGCCTGGTCGACGACCGGGCAGCGGGGACGCCAAGCCCCGGATACACCGCAAGGCAACTGCAAGGCAGCAGTAGGTGTCAAGAAGCATATACTAAACCACACAACAAGGTGTAACGAGAGGGGCGAGGTAACACCAGAACTATTACTTCCCTTGACACTTAGGTAGCACAACACAAACAAGCGTAAACTAACTTGTACAGGGCTTCTTGCAGATGTCAAGCCCTGATGAGGAACCCACATGCAAAACAATCCAACTACCCCTCACATATTATCCCACAGGTCAATTGACCTGAAGCGGATACAGGAGAACAAGCCATACGGGCTAGAAAAACAGCCCCAGCACCAGCAGCGAGGGACACGAGCGTAGAAAGAAGACAAGGAATGAGGAAGACAGGCAGCAATAGGAATGAAAGGGACAGGACCAACAACACAGAGGCCATGTCTGTCAGGCGAATGACAGCCGAGAGGTGGGACCAAAGAGCCAGAGCTCAACCCCCGCCAGCACAGCTAGGTAAGGACAACTAGGTGAGCACAGAGAATCTAATGTATATGGCAGGGCTAAGCCAGGCACTGCAAGATGGGCAAGGAATGAGTGACCCAGATAAGACCATGAAAAACGAGGCCATGACCCACCGTATAACAAACAATGCAGACGAACAAGGAAGGCCCCAGGAAGAAGCACGCCAGGGCCAAACAAAACGCCACAACCAAACTCCAACACGGATCCCCAGTATCAAGCCACAGCAAAATGTCCTCTCAAGAGCACTCTGACCCAGTGTAACATTTACCCCATAACATTTACCTCCACCAATTTACCTTGTAACATGGCGAAGGTGGGGCCCCTTGATTGATCCAAGCATGTGAAGAACATGCATATGAGTGGGACCGGTTGGTTATAAATAGAAACTGCCTCGTATGGGCCAATAGGCCCTCTACAGTCACCTTAGTTCTAATGTTAGTAAATGCGTAGCCACGAACCAGCACCTAGCCGAAAGACGCCAGACCGCATAAACTCGCCTGCAGAACGTAGGCACAAACGTGTCATGACACAAAGTAGCCGAGAGGAGTCCGGAAGCACTGCCAGAGGAAGAAGGCCAGAGCTGCACCTCCAGGAGAAGAGTAGGGTAGAGGCAAAGGAGGCGCCCCACACCCATATGCAGGGAAAACCCAGCATCCTCCCCTGAGTGGCCATCCAGAACACCCCCAGCATCTACAGGGCACGGACTGGAGAGACGAGAGGAGTGAGAGAGGTGAAGCACCCGAGAGAACAAGGACGTGGAACACCAGTGCTTGTGTACACCGTCCACAAAAAAAAAAAAAAAAAAAACTCCCACGGTGCATGCGCAGGACACATTGAGGTCATAACCACACAATCTCGCCCAGCATTGAGGGTGCCAACAAGGAGTATTGCAAAATAATAGTATTGCCTAGATAGACCACAGAGAGAAGATATAATGACAAAAGAAAGAGAAAGTCTCGAAAACCAAAAAGCACAGAAGTGGACCAACGACTCCTAAAAGGACCAGAGGTAAGCCTCACCGGAAGATGACAGATGTCCCTCCTCGCACAAGGTGAGGAGGGACTCGGGTCACATTCATCAAACCCACGCGCCCCCATGGGGATTCCCAGGGTCCTGAAATGGAACTCACGCTCAGGGAAGCCCAGAAAGGGTACTGCTAACCAGCGCCCAAGTCTATCAAACAACCTTCTAAAAACTGAACCCCCGGGATGTGAACTCTCACGGGGGACCCTAGCAGGGGACACCACCAGAAAAAAACATTAGGTCAGATACCAAGGGGCAAGCAAGGCAGACCCCCGACCCCCCCCCCCAAGGCACAAACAAAAAGAAAAACAAAACCCCGCAAGAGGACAACATACCCAAAGGAACAGAGCCGGCCGCTATGAATAGTGAAAACAAGCTGTGCAGCACCCTTCACCCCATACCAGTGCAAATTGCCTCTTACCCTTAGGGA